GTGTGAGTTACTCAATCACACGCCGTATATTTTAAAATGTAAAAACGCCGTCATTAAGTCGGACTAAAGTTACATAAGACCGCGTCCTGTGACAGTACGTATTACCTGATAAAATTAAGAATGGCATAACACTAGGCAACGAACATAGCATCAACATATTGTAGTGTAATACCACAGATAATACTATCGGACGCTCCCGGCGCGGCAAGGGGTACTGTCATTTTCGGTTAAAATAAAATAAATGACCAATTAGTATTTAGCTATAATGAAATATATAATATAAACATAAAAAGTAAAAATATATAAAAAATATTCTTTGGCGAAAAGAAAAACTCGTATGTAAAAAAAATCAGAATAAAACTATTCAGTACAATTACAGGTTTATGATTGTCCTGAATGTTCATCAGTCCGGCTGCCTGCTACGTAATAGCGAGCCGTACGCATAGCACGTCATCTTAGGTCTTGTTTAGAGTACTGCGTAATGCTTTATTGTCATATTACGTGGTACGAAATGTCATGTCATATGGCACTACTTTTCAGCGTACTGTTTTTTGCTTGTCTAATATCTGCTGTTCACATCACAGGCCTACACAATGGATAGAATCGAATGATGATCCACCACTCGGCCCCAGTGTGTCAGATATTGTTGCGTCGAATCAAAATTGGTTAATAGTTAGAAAATAAAAAATAAAGTATATTTTGATCACTGTTTGTGTAGATCTAATGAGAAGCTACATCATATGCAAGTGGTATAGGCTATAATTTCCGCGGGAAAAATCGTGGGAAAACAGCTAATCTGCTCATAAAGACGCAACATAGTTCGATGCAATGCATCGATATAATAAGGTATTGCTGAGCGCTCCCTTATAAAGTGTATGGAAAATCGCAGGTGTTTACTCATCAGATTATCTGCCGATATCGGTCACAAATCTTCTTGACATCGAATGAGGAAGTATTAAAAAAAACAAAAGCACTAAAAAAAGCACCTCCACTAGATGGCGACTCTAGCAAAAGTTGATTTTTGCAGGAAATGAATGGACCAAAGACTTTTCACTAACATATTACAAAACTGAATTTTGAAATGTTCGAAAGTTAGATATCAATACAAATACGAAAAAGTACAAATAGAATATGAGTTGTTTATTAAGTTTTGAAAACTAATTTACTTTTAAACATGAAAGAAACCGGAGGAGGTTAAACGACGATCGCAAAGGCCGGTAATTGGATGGGAGGTAATTTTTTTTTTTGGCGGAACGATTTAGAACGACCACGCGGGCCCAAAACGGATAACTCAGTATCCGTACTGTGTAAAAAATTGCGTCACCCATCCCATTACCGACATTTGCGAACATCGCTTAACCTTCACAGTCGTAGATCAAACGACCTAACCGTAAACAGTCACTCTGAACTTCATAAATAAAAATATATTTAATATATAAAAAGAGTCGTTTGATTTGAAAATATTAAAAAAAATACTTACAGATCAGTAAAATTTATCTTTGTAATTCTAAACCTTGATTCGTTTAATTTAGTGTTCAAATTCAAGTCATTTCGGTGATTATTTGAGATGTATCAAGCCTTGCATCAAGCCATGAGTAAATAGCCTTGCATATAACAGGAACAAGGCAACATATCGGTTTACAATAATCATAGAAATGACTTGATATGCTGTGAACTATATTAAATAAAACCCTCATATTGTTTTTATAAGATTTACTTATTTTAATAAATAACCAGCTTAGTTTACAAAAGCATTTTTTTTTTCGTTTTTTTATACATTTTTTTAGAAAATATCGTTCGCAACCAGCTCATGTGGTGACTTTATTATTGCTAATATAATAATTGAGTGTGTAGTATTAACAACAATGATTTTTACTCCCATTAAAAATATTATCCCATAGAGGTGACTCCAAGATACTTATATAAAAGACTAGTTACAAACAACATTGGTTATATGATATAATGTATCTATACATTTAAATTGTGGAAGATTTTTAAAACATAATTCGTTTAGTAGAAAAAAAATAAAACCTGCGTATTTCTTTTTATGGCAGTAATGTGGAATAAAACAGATGAACTATACTCAAATTCAATTTGGAAAGTTTTATAAAGACTACATTTATATATAATGGGAATCGTCCTTTCCAAATCACAGAAACTAAACACAAAAATATTCGACAGTTGAACGAGCCTCGAATAAAAATCCGTGTAGTTACACGGTTCATTGACACTCAACAATAACACATAAATCGACACTTCTTTTCCTAATTATGTCCAATATTTACATCTCTTAGATTCCAATATATCTCACAAATTGATAAAATAAATAAATCTCCGTTGTGCCAATTTACTTCTTAATGACAATCGAATTTCAAAGAGCCTGCCTCATAATATTCGAGAAACAAGATATTTTTAAATTTCCTTCTAAGTCATTGTCACATTTACAATTTAAATGATGTTGCCGTCTTATTATGTACAAAGTTAATTTTAATATATTTAAAACTAAATCCGAATTGTCTAATCAAAGCTTTTTAACACGTTGTATTGTCTGTTTCTAGAGTAGACGAAAAAACGGACAATAAACCTAAGTATTTACATGATCGCTGGAAGACAACGATACGTATCGCTAACCATAGATCTTGCCCTTTCCCGCGTTTTGTTGTACGCAACAAAGTCACTAACTTGCCCTGTACAACAATAGAGAGAACCCCGTGGAAACGATACAGAAGTCTATGGATAGCTATACGTATCGTTTGCTTTCAATGCTCACATAATACTAAGGGACATTGACCGTTTTTCGCCTACCTAAAGATAAAAAAGTTTACTAATACTTTTACAAAACAAAATAAAATTGGAATAAATACATCTAGGTATACTTCTGTGTCTAAATTTCCGATACGAGAAATTATGACTACCTGGTTTCAATATTGAACTGTATTTATATTCAAATTAAGTGGATAATGACTAGTATACAGGAGTTCTCTCTTATCATATCCACAATTCCACATCAAGACTATAATTTTCTATGTTTATCAATCTCATAGTATTTTAAGTGATTCGTCTGATACGTAAAATATTTATAATCGAACTAGTATTAACGTATGCATTTATTATACCCAATTTATGAAATATAAGAACAACCCAAAGCGGAATCGCTTGTAAGGTTATACAAAAACTACATTTGTGACTTTAAATTTTAAAACCTAATAGCTTTTAAGTAGATGTCAAAAACATATTCACTTGTTATTTTGTGGTGATGGGCTATTAGCATATGTACTCATTAGAGTACATTGCAATTTTACTACATTATTAGCAGTAATCGGTAGGTAAATTCATTTCTAGATGATGACATTAAATGTATAAATTAATGTGGCTATGACTCCCGAATCCATACTTTTAGAAGTGTCTAAAAATTCGAAATTAATAATCTTAAGATCTTTTTTTTTTTGATATCTAATAAATTATATTATTTTATCTAAGCAATTGATAATGAAGTGCCAGGATTGCAGTAATGTCCACATTATGATAACATATTTTAAGTAAGAAATACATTTACCTACTTCGATGACTGACTGTTCATACACAAAACAAAACCAAACTTTGACTCCTCATTGTATATAAAATGCTAAATGTTGTTTATTTGATTATCCACAAATTTTAAACATGGTTCTTTGATTATTTTACGTATATAAGGTTAAGACGTTTAGTTCAACATTCACGCAATCTTCTTTTAAACACGACCCTATCCATCTCTAATCCATAAATTTATAAATTATACACAATCAATAAGGTTTATTTCAGAACAAAACCTTTCATGATTACCAAAAGTACATGTCATTTTTATAACAAAAATTGAGATCTTATACAAGATGTAGTCTAGGTTATGATCTCGGTTTTCCTCAAGTAAAATATGATCTAACATTAATGATAATTTAAATCTTATAAGTCAGGATGACGGCAATTGCAACAAGACAAGTCTTTTTAAGCAGCATTTTTTTGCTTTATATGATTAAATGAAATTAAAGTTTCCATTTAACATAATAGGCTCATGTATATAACTTTACACGACATATTTTCATAAGAACACAAATATCTTATTTTTTTCTTAAATAAATACTTGTGTTATTTCATCGCATAGAAGGCAAAATATTATACAATAGAAAAACAAAATGCAAACATACCATGTTTTTATAAATAATCCCTAGACAATATTGTGATGGGAAATTTTAAGATTCCAATTTCAAAATCGATTATTTACAATGTCCAATAAAGCAGTCTTAAAATATATTACTTTAACTTAAAACAGTTTCAAATAACTGTTTGCTTTAAAAATGTGATTTCACATGACAAATATTTAGATTTTCGTTTCCAGTTTTTAGAATTCATAGTGTCCTTATTCTATGTGGAGAAACAGGAGTATTGAGATGAGAACTGAGCGAAAGGGGAAGAATAATTTGACCAGAGAAAGCGTAGCATAGCAAACGTAAGAAACGTAAGAAAGGTAAGAAATAACAATCTTTGAAAACGGTAAAGTAATAGTTTTGTATCATTTTCCGTTTAATCGAATGGCCCAGAAACACTATTGATGTGATTCACTACTAAAGCGAACTTTAAGTGTGGTATTAATTGTCAAGAGAATTGCCCATGTAATTTATTTCAAAATATTTTTTACATAAAGGATTATAGATTTTCAACATTATTTTACAAAGCTCACTCAAAACCTATTAGTTTACGCACATAAGTATGATTGAACACAATATAATATATTGATCGTATCAGATGAACTAGATTAAAAAACAATTTAGGCATAATAAACCTCTGCCTTTATTGTCAATGAAAAAGTATGTCTCGTGTTCTTTTAAAAAAAAATCAATCCAGAAATTGAAATAAATCGCATTAATAAAAGTTCAACGAAATTTTATTCAATACATCATACATTTTACCTATCTCCCGTTATAGTACTTCGCTTGGTAGCACTCGTAGTGCTTAATTCTTACCAGTCAGGCATCGGTATGTATAGTCTCTTGAGCGACCAGCGGCTCTGTGACACTGTCTTGTATCTCTTTCTCGTCTCTGCTCTCTTCTACAACTCTCTCTTCGGTTCTGTCCTCTTTAGTCTCTGATGGCTTCGAATCGGTCGATATTGAACTGGATGTCAAACTGTTGGGCTGTGATGAGTCTTTACTTTGAGGCTCTTGGGAGTTTCTGTTCTCTTGAGGTTTATCTTTGGAATCTAAGAAACAAAAAATAGTTTTAATTTAAACTATTAATTGTACATAAATAAACAACTCTAAACTACGGTTTCTATTCTAATGTCTGGCAGATCAATAATCTACTAGTCTTGCTAGGGAAGGCGAAAAAACAGACGATGATAAAGAAATCGATATTTATTGTGAGTCTCCATAAAACACTGTATTGTTTCCGTGTACAATTGCGATTTATTGTACGGGCCGATATAGGTCACCAACTCCACCCCGTATATAATAAACAGCACTCCGCGGAAACGATACAGTTCAATGGCTAGCGATACGTATCGTTTTCTTTCTATGTTCAAATAATACTTTGTGTCATAGTCCGGTCTTTCGGATGCCCTAGTTATAGAATTAAAATTTTAAAAAAAATCTTTTCGCTAAACAGACGGAATATTACTTGTTAATTTTTGTAAAAGCGAAACAAGTCAAGAAAAAAAAACATTTTTATGGAATAAAAACTAATATAAAATGATTTGAAAAATAATTTGCTTTAGTTATTAATCTTGACTATCTTAAAGAGAAATGTCTAAATATCGATATAGAAACAAGAATGCAAAATATAATAATTGATGTACAAATGAATGAATAATAATCTACATTACAAAAACAAAGGCTACTAACATAAAATAAAAATTGCAAACTCAAATAATCTTCTTTTAATTTTTGATTTTGAAAATGAGTAATTTTTCAATTCTTCCAACTCATTCTGGAGTTGAGCAACACTTGTAGTGAGAGTTCCGCCCAGAGTGAATCTTTATAACACATATAATGAATATTTTGGTTAATGAGAAAATAATCCTATACACAAGGTTATTGACAACTTTAAAATATATCGTTCATTTTAAAAAAATATTTTTTCGCTAAATGAAACAAAAATAAGACCAAAAATTTAGTTATTTTCAATAATTTTCAAAACCATGTATCCGAATTATGACCTGTCTTTAGTATACTTATTTTAATAGCAGTATAGCGATCGTGCGGTCTGATGGGAGTATTAATAAATAAATTATTGTTATAATTTACAACTTTTTAAACCTGTGTTTACAATTCCATTCCTTCAAATTGTAAATATTTTTATTATTTATAATATATTATGTAGTATTTAAATGTCTATCTATTTATCTATTACGAGTTTTTACAATGACACTGGCGGCTAATACAATGTTATGACGTCACAGGCTTTGGATTTAAGTATGAAGTCACGTGACAATAAGGTCAAAAATACTGATTTTATTTTGCATAAATATACTTAATCTTAACCTCGTTTTATTTATTTATTGAGTTTGAAATTGAATTTAATTTACTAAAGTTCCATATTTTACATAAACCAATGTCAATAACCCTATTGTATCCAATACACCGAACGAGTAACCTGTCAAGGGTTCAATCGGCTGCATTTATTGACTTGCAAAGATAAAATTAGATAAAATTGAAGTTCCTTTGTCTTGTCCAACTTAAAGATAAATTAACTAAGTTGAAACACAAATTAAAAAATTTCGACAATAACGAGAAGTTACTCAATATTGAAATCATTAAATATTAAAATCGTATACATTTTAAATATTTTAACAGTTTTAAGTAGCTTAGTAATATTTCTATCACGCATCCTAATTATTATAATTAGTCTATCATAAAGTTGTAATAGTTCTTATTGTGACAACGTTTAAGTAAATAATTGCATGTTCATATTTACCACCTCCATGTGCCGGCCACGGTTTCCTCACGAACATATTCTCCACAATTCTGTCGATGTTGTCCTTCTCTGTTGAATTCGCTGCCCTTTATGAGGAAAAGAGATATGCGATTGAATAAATACACTCAATGTTGTTACATTAAATTCCAATGATCTTATTGCGTTAATACATGTTAGTGTTTAGAGTGAAGCTTACTCAATAATTGAATTATTTTTTTCTTATGATAGCACATATAAAACTATAAGAACAACACAACAGTTATAACAATAAATTATGAAATACTAGCGGCATCGACCGCGTGGTCCTGTATTATACCTGATTCCTTTTGGATCACTATATTTATTGATTTCTTATATTTTCACGCTCAATATACATAAATGAAGCATCTTTTAAACCGTCTCTAAGTTGTTTCATTCATCATATCTATTAAAAAATATAGTATCAAAATCCATTGCGTACCTACTTTTAAATATTTATTGATGTTGGGCATGGTTACTTATATGTAAACAATAATTATGTAGTAATATTTTTTTGTTTTAAAATAAATAGTACACGTATTATTATTATTAATAAATATATTTATTTTTTTCTATCTATTATATATCTATTATATATTTCTATTATATAATTATCCACTGTTACGAATAATTATGTAGTAGTATATTTTGTTTTAAAATAATTTGTATAATTATTAATATATATATTATTTTATATACATAATAACTGGCAACATTTTTTTAAATACGGAAAGGCATTTATAATTGAATCAGGAAAAAAATTAAAAGGGGGGTATATGGGGTACTTTAATTTTTGTTTTTTCAAGGTCCAACCTACACAATATCCTCTATCAGAAAAACCATATTTGATAGTTGTCCCTTTAATAACAAGTCCTAAAGTACAAAACAAGTTTGTGTAGTGGTTTACAATTATCAAGGTATAATTATCAAGTTAATATCCGGGATAATTATCAATGATAATTATCACTCCGAAATCTGCTGTACCATGTGCGTATAACGTCGTAATTTCATACCTCTCTGGTGCGGCAGGTCTGACTATAGGTATGGCGGCTGTAGGCCTCCGCTGTGCTCGTGGCTGTTGCTCCTGTTCAGCACAGTTGTAATATGTTACACCACCGGCTTGCGTCGCCTGAATGAATGAATGAATGAATGACTAAACACTTTAATGAACATGAAAAAGTTAACATAACATGTGCTATAAACTATATATACAGTACAATGGACGGTCTTATCGCTAAAGAGCGACATCTTCCAGGCAACCAAAAGTTACCTGGACAGTTATATAAAAAGATGGGTAGTAAATGGTGTCTTACATAATCAGAATAAAGGTTGCTTAGACTGATATATATATAATATAAGCAAAGTATATATATACACATATACGCTTTATATCTGTTCACAGCATAATAAATAATAATAAATAAAAGATCCTCACGTACATTGCTCAGATTCCAAGATGAGTTTCTGAGACAATGAAGATACCACAACATACAAACCCAGGACTACATAGAAAAATCCATTTTCTAAATTGACCTAACCGGAAATCGAACCAAGGACATCAGAGATATTGACGACACCTTAAAACTCCGCTACGGAGGTCGCCATGTGCTCATTTGACTGGGCTATACTTAAAATAATACGATGCCATTTGCGATTAGCTTTTTCCAGCCAACCTTATTATAACGAGTGGTCCAACTTTTATTCACGATGTTAATTGTCAGTCACACTTTCAAGTTTTTTCTCAACTTAATTTAACGTTTCTTTGCTTTCAGTGTTTGACAAATTCAATTATAGAGAGGTTACACAATTGAGCGGCACAATAAGATTGATGAAGCCTTTTACGAAAATGGGTATTGAAATCAAAATGCATATCGTGGTTTTTTTGTCAGCATAATCGATCAAATGTGTCCACAATCGGAAGAATTGTGGACACAAACCGGGTCTGTAGTAAATGTGAAAACACCTGTGCATGCTCGCCTGGTTCGTCCAGCGGAAAACATTGCTATAATGGAAAATATTCTTGATGAAAAATGCTTAAAAAAATCCACTTTATCCCTGGCACTCTGAGATGGGATTCGAACCATTCAAAGCTTTCGCAAACCGAGCGACAGCTCTAACCACTGAGCTACCCAGGACCTAACAGGACTGACGAATTTTTTCGCTACTACAGAGCGTATTTTTCATCAATGTTCAGACAAACCACCCAGATAGCATGATGTTCGTGATAGTGAGGGAGAAGAGCCTTGAACCTTGACTCGTCTCTTCCCGTTCTTCTTGTAGCCAGAAGTTGAGGATATAAACCTGGACGATATGTGGTACCAATAATATGGTGCAATTTAGCAAACAGCCAACGAAACAATGGTTCATTTTCGCGAGATATTTAATCGATTATCGAGATATTCATTGACACCATTCGACTTCTTTGTTTGGGGATACTTAAAAGAAAAATAGTATATCAATAAGCCAAGAACAATCCAAGAGCTAAATAAAGTATGAAATAATTCGGCACATTAACGACATTGAACCTCAATTCTGTCTCAGATTCATTGAAAATATGGACCATGGGATAGAGGTATGCCACGGTAGCCATGATGAGCATATGGGCGATATTTTGTTACACAAATAATTGTCATAGATCCTTTTATGATAATAAAAAATATTAAGATAATTATCTAAAAACATCGTGCGTTTTGGTTGGACCACCCTATATATAGTACAAGGTTTATTTATTTAATTACAATGCTATTTATAGTCACACTATAAATATCGTTAAAAGAAACCCACTACAACCACTTCTAATAGAAAAAATAAACCTAAAACTAATTACATTATTATTAATAAAGAACTCTTTACAAACCAGGAGATCTGTGGCGGGTCCCTGTGGAATATAGTTCTGTATGATCCCTCTCGACTGTTCATGCTTCGGGGCCATAGGTCTTGTTTGCTGTTACAAAAGTAAAAATAAAAAACTTTAAATAGATGTAATCTATACTTACAGAAAGGTATATAGACCGGAGATTTCCATACTGGAAACGAGCAAAAAATCATGTCTGCAGTATGGGAGCCCGCTCAGATAATGATTTTATTCTTTTTTTTTATATAGCCTGGTGACAGACAGATAGACAGCGAAGTCTTAATAATGGTTCCTTTGGGTACGGAAACTTAGGGTATGTTCCGATATACACTGCGACCACTGAACAGTATGACGTCAATTTAGTATACTGGAAGCCCGTTCCTTTATAGCTAGTTATACTGGCGACTTTTTAAAACGGAACGCAGTCCAGTATACTGTTAATCCTATTCTTTGGCGCCATTTTCAAATTGGTTAATGCAAGGTGAATACAAATATAAAGATTCCCTATTTTCAAAAGAAAATCGGAAAATTGTATAAAAAAATTATTTATCAATTAAATCCATCTTATAAATAAACGTAAGTATTTATTTTTTTTGTTTATTTAGAAACTTATCATTTTCTGATTCTGTTTCGACTGATCACGTGATCAAAAGCACTGCGAGCACCTTACCTCGAAATCTCCAGTGCTCACAGTACAAATATGGCGGCAATTTATGACGTCATAAATTTCCCTAGGGTACTGTAGCAGTGTAATGGCAGTCCATAACGGAACGGATTTTTCAGCAGTAAGACCACTGCGCAGTGCTCGCAGTGTATATCGGAACATACCCATAATAAACTAATTTTGTTTTATCTTCGGAAATACTGATCTGATCATAAAAAATATCTACGGGAAGCTAATTCGTACTCGGATGACATAGGCTATAATTTACAAAGTCACAGGAAAAACAGCTAGTCTCTATCATAAAAAACATACTAGAAACCGGCATTAAGCCTGGCAGGAAAAGATCTTCGAAGTCTACACTAATAATAATATTTAGATATATACTTATTAAGTTTATCTGTAAGAAAAAAGGAAATTAGTCATTAATATAACATAATTCTCACGTAATTATGATGGGGGTATATCGGATAAGGTGCTGGGGGCTGTGCGTACATCGCTCCGCCGAATACGCCGCCATTGCCGCCGCCGCCCGCCGGCTTTAACAAAAACGAACTCTAAAGCATTGCAATAAGGATTTTTTTACTGAAAAATCAAATTACATAAAAACTCAACTGCACTAGTTCATCTTGTATTAAAAGGCTTTATCTGTAGATAGAATGACATATGGCAGGGGTCGGCAACCTTTAAGACAGAAGAGTCATAAAACTATAATTTATAAAATTTATCTGTTTTTGAAGAGCCGTTTCAATACAATTCATATTATATTTCAGGTTTTATACACTGATACACTCGTGTCAGTATATCTCAATTGTATTAAAGTACGGGTACTCAACTCAACAGAACACTGATAGCGATAAGACTACCAATTGTTGCACTATATTATTAATATCAAGTTTATGTTTATGTGGTGTTTACAATAAAGAATTAATCGATTACACGATAAAATAAATATTTTTTTAGTAAATGGTAGTTGAGTGCCGCCATTTACATCGAAATAGCCACATGCAGCATTCGAGCCGCAGGTTGCCGATCCCTGTCACAGGGACATCGAACCACAACCCACCATTTGGACCCACCACGGATCGGTGAGTGTTAATGACGTGACTAATGGCTTAATTGCCTCCACAAGCATTGAAAAGCTCGATATTACAAATATTTGCTCACGCAACATCCGACATCACCCAGAATTCGCAACAAAGAAATAGCCGCCTAATACGATACTCTAGATAGCTTAAATATTTCTAATAATCTATCTCTTTTGGAAACCAAATATTTACAAGGATAATTTATAACAAACCCTTACGATTATTTTATGATTAAAACCGGAATACGAGTCATCGATGAGAATGAGGCACATTTTGTATCGGATCAACATTAAGCTGAGGCAAGGTATAGATTTGACCGCTAATTTTAAAAGCTATCGCAATCCATTTCAATTTACTTTTGAAAACTATTCAAGCTATTCACGAACTTCGCGCTACAACTATTTGACATGTGATAGCACTTTTTTTGCACTTTTTTTTGCACTTTTTAATAATTATTTTCAAGACGAAAACGAACTGATGTTGAAAAATATTTAGATAGACTTTATTCTAAAGCAATAACGAATATAATACTATACATGTAACCCTTTTTTGAATCAGACGCATATTCCCTATTAGCCCACTGATTATGTATGTTTTTATATGAAAACATTTTATATACTGTTTAATACGATAACTTCTTTTTCTTTCTATTGTAGATCTATAGATGTTCTGCTTCTTCTATATATAACATACCTGCATATATTGTGCTGGCATCATAGCTGGTGGTGCATAACCTTGTGTTGCTTGTAATTGTCCTGGAAATTAATCGGTAAAAATAATCTCCAGTATATAATTTACAAAAAAAAAAACACTGTATTATACGAGTATATCAATATCATAAAATTGTTCATATATATATATATATTGTCAACGTTAGCAGTTGATGTCCTATCATGTCATTTAATAACAATTATCAACGTCCAACTCAAAACATACAGTTGATATAGGAAGCCATTTCTTTCAATTTTTTTATATACATATATAGGAACATAGAAGGACTTAATATGATTTTAAAGCTATCTTACCTATAGTGTGTGGTTGTGGCATATTATGAAGCGGGTGCGGGTGAGATACAAGCTGCTGCTGCTCGAGAAGTCCTAACCTAACCTGTTGTAAATTAAAAATTATTTAATCATCTTTTATTCTAAATTGCCTATTTCTATCTAACTTAGGCATCAGCCTCACACCAGAACCTTAAGAACAACTGTGTTTGTAACTTACTACCACGTAAAACATTTTTCTGCGTGACGAGAAAATAAATTTCTATTATTATTATTTACAACACAGAACGGATAGAGTTCATTGTTTTAATATTATTATTTGTACATCAGAGGCAGGATTAGGTCCTATCTCCGTTCCTAAATTGCTTCATTGGAGTCATATTGGCATTTTGAAAAAGAAAAACAAATTCCGTTTTCGTTGTAATATAATTGGCCTTCAGATAGTGACCGCTTAAATCTTTAGTCATAGGATAGATATCGATTTATAGCGACAATTCGTTTCATTTTACTACTTAGACATGTAATAACGAGAACACATGACAAAGAATGAGGATTATGGACTTGACAGCAGCATGAGATAATAGTATCGGTCACCAATTCTATGACTTAACAATGCGAAAGTTGCTTAACAACCGTATCGCAGGCCGAATGCCATCGAGCTCCTCTATATGAATACGTATTATGTATAGTAGTAACTCGGTGGCGTAGTGGAAAAGCGCTGCGGCCCACGTACTATTAAGAATAAACGTTATTATTAAGAAACTTACGCAAGGGTCGGTCACGGGATGGGTGACCAAAAAATTACTATCTCGAGCTACTCTGCGCTTCGGAAGGCACGTTGAGCCGTTGGTCCCGGCTGTATTTGCGGTCGTTAATACCCTCCAATCTGCATTGGGCCAAAGTGGAGGGCCATGGCCCATCTCCTTCACCATTCATAAGGAAAGCCTCAGCCTCTGCAGTGGGGACGTTAAAAGGCTGATGATTATGATGGTGGTGATTTTGTTAACCTGTTGCGAATGCTGCGGTTGCGGCAGCTGTTGGTGCGGGGGCGAAGGCCCGTGCTGCGGCGGCACCCCCGCGCGGTGCACTTGCTACACGGAACATAGACGGGGTAACGTAATCAATGATCCATAAATTACATCACACTTTAAGGACATACGCCAACTAAGGTTAGATTGCACCATAATAAGTTTAATGCCTATTATGGTGCAAATGCGCCGAATATTTTCTATTTTGGTACCGAATATATTTGGTTCGAGTAAGTACTCGGAGCAACAAATATGAAAATGTTGGGAACCTCTGCCTTATCCCTTTTAATATTTTTCACATAGTATGGATACGGTTACGTTTCGAATGTGAAGTTACTAGTGATGTGGTAAAAAATATATATATACGTATATATATGTTGTTGAGTTAATTTCTAATATAGATAATCCATTTAGATGTCAGGATTTAAGAATGATCAACAAGGTAATCCCTTATCAGAAACATACAACCATGATTAAAAATTGTCAAATAATTACCGAATACATATTACGATTAAAACTATTTCATTACGATTTTATTAATTCAATCGCTATTAAAAAAAAAAACGTTCCAATTTTCGTTACTAGTATATATGTTTTAAACTTTAGAAGGTTAGATTTCAGTAATTGTGGCAATTAAAATTTATTTATGTTCTTAATATCCAAATATAAATATATATCTAATATCTACACAGTCAAATTAATAATAAACTATAACGATAGTTTTTGGAAATAATTGTTTGTTTATTAAATACAAATTGCGTAAAATGTATTTGTACTAAAGTTTGTCGTGAAAATATTTACCTGGTGCATAATCTGTGGCGGGTGCATCTGCGGCACGGGACTGCCCTGGTGTGGCGCCGGCGGCGGCGCGTTCGTCGCGTACTCTGTGCCATCAACACCCACACGCAAATCAATATCTGCACCGAATGCGATACACAGGACATTTTTTATATTCGTTACTGTCGATTATCGTTACGGACGAATTAAAAAAAAAACTGTTTTAAATTAAAATAAAAATAATTTTATATAAATAAGAATTCTTAGGGACCCAAAATTATGTTTACAGTTTCGTACGCCTGTTACTTATTTTAACCGACTTAAAAATTAAGACGATGATGTATTTTTTTTTTTTGTAAATATGTTCTATTTAATATCATGCAGTAGGAAAAAAAATGTATTGTTAAAAAAATATCCTTCATATACTTTGTTTAATAGAATCAGACGTTTCTTTGAACTTACGGTACCTAGCAACTACCGAAAGCAGTAAGTAGATACAAGATATTTGTGCACCGCCCGCTAATAAATGCACGTGCACAATCGGCAATAAACCTCTTAACCACCACCAACTATTACTCTACACGTATTTTGCCCCTCAATGCAGCATCCTCGGGAGACGTTACATCATAGAGGTTATTTCCACTAAAACAACTAGTCACCGACAAACGCAGGCACGCAACTAGTAAGATCTCTACTTATTTTTTGACAAAATGAAAACAAAAATACAGATAAAGTAGTGGGCAAATATCTAAAATCTTTTGATGGAGTGGGGATATGCGCTTCAAATTAAATTTTAATGTCCAATATTCATAAAATATTTCTGTATTATTTAAATGTACCTAGACTAAATTCAAGATTCGTTTTTATTACATAATATGTTTTCATAATAAGTATTGATAAAATTGTATAATATAATTCTTATAAATAACATTATTTCATATATGTATATCTTCATTTCATTTTTCACTCCAATTTATTATTTTTACTAGGTATTTATTAATATTATAACGCACTGAAGTTTATATTCCAAGGACATTGGTACTCTTATTATAACAGCTTTAGCTTTTTTTCTTTTCTATTGTAGAAGTATTGTACAAAAGTCAGTGTTAAATACTTACCAGTGTATCTTATCTGCTGTTGTTGCTGTTGTTGTTGTTGCTGCTGTTGTTGCTGCTGTTGCGGCTGTTGTTGTTGTTGTTGTTGTTGTTGAGGAGAGTACGTTTCAACGAGTGGTCGCTGGCGTAAGCTACTATAACGTTTACTACCACGGGCTTCCGCACCTAGTATTAAAAATAGCAAAATAATATTATTTTTTCATACCGAGCAGTTATTATCAATATTAAAGTCTGATGTGTTTCTCAAAATGTATTGAAATTTGCATTAACTATATACTCCAACTTAGTAGTTTTAGTGCGTAATAATGACTGACAACTGTAAAAAGTATATGCACGTGTAAAAAAAGCCAAACTGTAATCAATTTTGAAGTCTATAGGCAGCCAAATAAGGCTCAAATACGATCGGAAAAAATTAATACTAAAAAAATAAATTACCAAATCTTTGCCTCGATATTATCTATGGTATTTATAAATCAGCTAATGACAATAACTATTAGAATACTTACCGGCGGCTGCGGCTTGTTGCGGTTGCGATTGGTTCTGTTGCGGTTGCTGTTGCTGTTGCGATTGTTGCGGCGGCGATTTGTTCGGTGCTACATTGTTGGATTGTTGCGGCTAAAAGAAACGTTAAGATTTTAAATAGGTAATTTCTACTTCCCGTCTAGATAGTTCGCTTAAATTAAGAAAGGAGGTCTGTAAGTAGTATATTGTACTCAAAAAAGTATCTATCAGACTAATACTAGCTTTCCGCCAGCGGCTTCGCCCATGTGGTCCCTAGGGAACTGTTTATTTGGACATTAATTCATATTAATCAAATATTCATATCATGAAATGGATATAATTACAATGACAAATTAAATAGTAAAAAATGGTTACTATAGTAACGTTTTAATTCTCCATATAAAAATTCAGTACCATTTTCATCCCTTCATTTGCTGTTTATCGGGATCAAATATATACTATATTAAAATCATATAATGTAACTACCCGTAAATGAAAGAATTTTTAAAATCAACTCAGTAATATCGCAGCCCGTTCTTTGCAAACAAACAAACAATCAAATCTTTCCTCTTTATAATATTACTATAGAAAGATGTATGGATCATAAAGTTTATTGTTTGCTGGATTAATTGTCATAATTGTGTACTTTCAGCTACGGGAGGCTACATCGAAAGAAAACAACTATTCTCATATCAATTCTGTAAAAAATTACCTATTTTTGATGTTGACCAGAATACGACAATTTGCTTACCTGTTGTTGAGGTTTCCGCTTCGCCTGTTCAGTGGGCACTGGACGTTGCTGAGCGACCGTAGCATTCACCTTCCTTTGGGGCTGACCTTGGCTGGCAACAAGCGAATATTCCTTACTGATTTCACATAATTAGCTACCGTAACACTATCAAGGGTGGATCCAGGAGGGGGCCATTGGGGTCATGACCTACCCCAGATCCGGCTCCAGGACCGAGGTGGACTACTAATTAAAATTATTAAAGATAATGTTTGTATATATGTTTTATCACAATAAAGATGTTATTAGGTACTTTCAATATTTAATTAACTTAATACAATTGAAGTAGATGAAGTGATAACATGTTTTGGAAGAAATAAAAGAAAAATTGCTTTTGTAATTAAAATAAAGGTATTTTTAAGTACAACACTTACATTTATTAACAAAATACCTACGTTTTAATTGTAACTATTATTATCAAAATAAATTCTAATGTAGAGAGAGGGAGAGACAAAGAGAAAGTGTGTGTAGATGGTAGAGAGGAACAGTGAGAGCCGGATAGAGTGAATACGAGTGGAACAAAGAAAGAGTGAGATGCGCCACAACAATACCACCTTAATCTGGTATGATTAAAGTGGTATTGTTGTGGAGGGTCATGATTTTGGTCAGTATGTATGTAAGATTGTTCATCTGTTCCCTTATAACTTCGAAACTACTCATCGTCACTGGACAAATGGGGTATCATTAGAAGCGCCTTAATTACGTTACATTAAATTAGCAACAGCGTCATCTACAGAGCATAAAGTATGGAATACGCTGTCTTTTGGTCATCGCTATAACATAAATTTCTTGTTATAAACTTTTAAGAGCGTAATTCAGCTGTAGTCGGGTTTTAGTTTTAAAAATATACTCACTTGTTATTAATCGATGTAGTTATGGTAAGATTTTCGAGCGGCGGCATTTTGTCCTTCGGCGACGGTCTAGGAGACTGTTTAACAGCGTTCTTAACGACATTCGCCTTCGCAGGCCTTTCATTTTTACCTGAACAACAATATTATGATGATAATTTTATAACGTTATAGTTTCGTGCGAGGCGCATATTTTTAATGAAACTAGTTTCATGCAATTAATTTCTCCTAGCGAAGTAGCTAAGCGAAAGTAGTATCAAGACACCATCGGCGCATATTAAGGCGATGTAGACACAGCCATTGTCTCAGATATACTTTTGATTATATCGCTCACTGAATAGTACAGTAGCACATCTCAAAAACCATAATTTCGAGAAACGTTTTCTGAAGTTATGAAAATCTAATATATTTATAATTATGGAAATCAATTTTTTTAAAATAACAGTTAAATCGTTTGTATTATATTATTACTGTTAAGTTTTTTATTTTTTCTTTAAATTATCTATGGGATGCCACCACAATAATGTGGCGTTTTCTAGAAATAATGGTTTTTGAGTTGTGCCACTGTACTATTCAGTGAGCGATATGCAGGATTCTTAATTAATAAGAGAATATTTTAAAGAATAATTATCCCTAGTTACTAACATTTTTTCTTTAATACGGAAAGGCATTTATAATTTACTCAACTTTTATTTTTGTTTTAATCTATACAATTATACAAACAAAATAAACAGAATCAAGAAGTGAAATTTAAATAATAACGGAGCTTAACATATATATATTTTTTTTTGTTTTCGAAAGACCATCCTAGATAATTTGTGTAGTATTTTATAATTATTAAGCAAAGCATATTTATCAAGATAATTATAAATTATTATTATCTCTCCGAATCCTGATTGTACGCCATCAAGATGTTTCAAATTTAATTTACTTTCGTGAAACTAGTTTATTATTTCCGTGACACTAATTTCGTAATGAAACTTCGGCTTTAGTTACAGTGGGTAGCTATAACTTCGCTGTTGACCATATGGTAACGACGTCATAGCTGTCACGGATTGTGATTTCAAACGATGACAAACTGGCAGTAGCTGTTAAAAAAAATATTCTAAACAATCACCTTTATTTGTCTTGATAGAAGCGTTTCTTCGCAGTTGATTAGAGCCATTCTCGAGGGACTCATTCGATGGGGGCTGAGATTTGGAACGTGGTCGAGGAGCGCGTGCACGTGTTCTACCGCTAAATAGATAAGTTTATGACTTCAGTTGCTAGTTGTGCTACTAATGCTAGTTGTACACTGAGCGTCAAATTACCATAACCGTTTTCTACCGATAAAGATATACACGCTTATAAAACGAGGACTAACTTAAGAACCTGATTTAAATATTATCTGACCGAAATAAATCAGCGTCGATTCACTTTAGGCGGCCAATGATTTGAACAAAATACACACGTTAAACCTCTTTTTGTTATATGACTGATAAGGTTATGAATTTATGCAGTTATGCTAGTTATATTATTAACAAATTATATTATATAATAATCGACCTTGTACAGTCAACAGAAGTTACGTCGCAGACTAATCGCATACTTGCTTGAGACGGTTGACGGATCTTCTGTCATATTTGCACAGACTCTATCGTTAATGTAATGGGATTTAAAAATAAAAAAAGTGTGAGAACATTGAACTGTCGACGGAATAAAAAAATCATACAAAATTCGCTATAAAAAAGAATTCAATCAACTTGCTTAGTAACTTAACTTTAAAATATTAATTATGTTTCTTCTAAAATAATATTAATCTGGTTATAAATCCAATAAGTATTTAACACTTTTTTTTTGGCAGGCTGCATATTACAGAAAAAAGAAATTAATAAAAATTTACCTAGGCTTCTTGCTAGCTTCCAATTCAGGGAACTCGTCAGGATTAGGTGGTTTGCGCGGCTGCGGTTGCGCAGCCGTCTGCCTCTTATACGCCTCCTCGTCTTCCCAGGTTCGCGTGTATTTAGTAGGACCACGTCTACATAATAAAAGCCATTCATTCCACTTTAGATAATAATATAAAGGTAAAATATTAATAGTTTGAGTGTTTGATCATAGAAACCCACAGTTCATAGAATGTTTGTTTTGAACGAATGAATTAACGAATGAATGAAGAGTGAAGAATATTTTATACATATATATATTACTATTTTATGTGATGGGTGGACTGGGAATTAGCCCTGTATTTATTTTGTAACACTTCAAATATTGTGAGCTCATTATATGTATTGGGCTTTATGATCTAAATTTTAACCAAACAACCTCGGCCAACGAGGCTGGTTCCTTAACAGATTGCAATACACAAATTATACCACTTTCATTTCAAGGCAAATTTAAATGAACTTTTTATTCACAATGCTAAATTGATAATGACAAAGCAGAAGAAGACTCAAGCGAGCGTCTTCTAAAATATAAACTCTCAGGCAATTGGTCTTTGCAGGTTTTGGCGACTAGTCGAATACGCTACAAAACCCCCGCGTATGGCTGATAGAAAAATTCCACTCAATGGACAATCCGCTGTTAACTTTTGTAAGATATAACGAAAATTACTGGCCTGGCGGAGTGTCCACTCCGCATATATTATAAGCAAAAAATACATAAAAATTAGACTCTCCCAGGTATCTCAATTGGTTAGAGAAATAATAAGTCGGTCAGGACTACAAATAGTTATGGATTCTGTAAATCCTTGTGTCAAGAATCTGAGACTGTCTAAATTTTTTGGTATTTTTCTGTACATTTAAAATCTTAAGGTTCATTTAAATATAAATCCATGCAATTAAAAGCATCAAACTTAATGTAAGATTTTTTCCATTTTTAAACTCTGAATATTATTTTTGGGTAGCACTATGAAGCCTTATTGAAACATAAGGGACATATTATTAATTAAAAACCGAGTGTATGAGTATACACTCCATTTAAATCGCTTGAATGACATTCGCAAAGAAAACTCTTAAGCAGAGATCATGCAGCAGAAACTTTGTGAACTAACTAACCGCCAATGTCGGTATCTCCATTTTGGTAAAGCAGTGGGGAAAGAACACTAATTATTAAATTTATAATCATATACATCTATTACACTATTTGTTATACTCAAACATAAACAGCGTTTATGATATTTACATACAGTAACGATGACTCAGAGGACATGACGTCATTTGTGAGATAAAGAATGGGAATAAATTATATTCAAATACATTAAAATGACCATTTCAACTTGTTAATATTAAGTATATTATATTGTTTTACATTCTGAACATTTTATTACCAATATACTGCTAATTTACTCACGACGGACGTCACACGTCAAAAATAATAGTAAAAAACAAACCGAAAACTATTTTCAATTTTATAAAATTTATAACTAAATGCCCCCTATTAAATGCGCACGTGTTCGTCGACTCGTATCTATTAAAGTGCATCAGTGAGTGTTATTGGGATGGACATAAATCGATGATATCAATTCTTACGTAAACGTCATTCTAATCTCTTTTTGACGATATCACTCAAATTAACAGTGAATTATCGCCGTTCTAATTGATGTGTTCTGTCATTAGCATGTGGAAATCAACCTTTTTGTTTGTAAACACAACGGAACTTACCCATATCTCCTGTTACGACGCGCATGGGGTGGAGCATCTTCGTTCCTAATGTCATATCCGTATATTGCGACTAATTCATCACGAGATTTCGGCATCTAAATAGAAAAAAAAATAGACAAAACAATATATAATTTAGTTATTAATTTATTAAGGCAGGTTACTAAATTACTAATTTCATTACTGCCATTGAAAAACCTTTGATAATATTTCTTAAATCAAATTCAAATATCAATGCCGCAATATATTATTACGAGTGCGAAGTATTTTTATACCTGAAGATACTGCTCGTACGGACAAATATAACGCCGACGATTCTTACGTTTTTTTACGTTCAAAAATGCGTTTCATTGGTGAATAAGACACCAATGAAATGCATTTTTGATAATTTATGTAACAACGAAAGTAGAAACTGGCACAGATAATTTTCACGGCCTCTAATGCACAAATAATTTTCACTGATATAAAAATATGTATACGATTTTAATAAAATTATAAGAAAATTCGCGAAATTCCCAATTTTAGTTAGAGACAAATAGGCCGTCAAGTGCCATATCAATTCGTACAAGTTATACCTGTCCAATTCACTTAGTTACTACAAATATTGAAAAAAAAATGTTTACAAGGTATGAGAATTTGCTTGTTGCAGGGTACCTGTTCATTCTCATTGTACTTGTCGTGGGACCATTTGTTGATGATGTCAGACTTGCGTGGCGCCCGGCGGCGTTCCGCTGGCGTTTCACTACCCTCCTTCTTCTCAGAGGCAGTCTCTGAAGTCGTGTTACTCGATTCTTCACCGCTGGTGGGAATAATGGTCATCTTTCATATTGAAAAGGTATACAGACACATTAAACATACCAACCATTAGTACACACTGTTAATTCGCTTTGGAAAGGTTTTCTATATGCGTTTTAATTTAATAATTGTTGATGAAATGTTTAGTTATTTTATTTATAATAATAAATAAATAATAATTAATATTTAACAACATCACATACATCGCTCAGATTCCAAGATGAGTAGCTAAAGCCCTCGTATTATGGAGTATCTGAGACAACAAAGGTACTCCAACACCCAGACCCGAGTCAATATAGAAAAGTTCATTTTCTACATTGACCCGACCGGGAATCGAACCCGGGACCTCAGAGACGGCAACACCTTGAAACCGGCGTGCGAACCACTCGGCTACGGAGGTCGTCTATTTATATTTATGTCACAGCAAATTTGTGTTAGTTACTGACCCAAAGATGGACTTTTAGTGTAAATAAAAAGAAAAGCTTTGTGATTAGTTTTGGGGAATAAAACAACACCAACAACCACACAGTACTAGACAACTTGCATCATAAATAACAAATGGTCACTCATCATGAAATCCCAGAAACTACAAGTACTAAAAGTTTCAAATTTTGTATAAAGGTTCTTTTTAAGATGTAGATGCCAAAAATATAATTTTGTTCAAAGAATTGAGTTTTAGTTAAAAATATAGATGAAATGTAACATGAGCTAAATAACCCTGAGAATTTACTGGTGCTTTATAAACAGCAGTGTATACAGTGTGTGTTTTTTTGAAACTATAAAAACTTATTTTGCAATACCCACAATATTTGGAAAAAAAAATAAAAAAGAATTACTGTAAATAGCTTTTGTTTATTGAAATACAAGAAACTGTTTTTAAAATTTCATATTTGTATGGTCTGCAAGTCTACTAGTCTTTTAGTTTTTTTTTATATAATAGACAAACACCACATACTTTATTAAAATTAAATTATCTGTTTATCATGCAGACCAATATCTTTTATTTACATTTAAAATTAAACTGTTTGCTTTATTTTTTGCACCAACAATGTCAATGACCAAACTGTGCAGTGAAGCAGCAACAATTATTGTAATATACTGGATTGGAAAGTCGTGCAGTTTTAGTAATACTGGAGACTAAGGTCGTTCACCAGTTCCAAATCCATTATTAATCAGCATGTATACCTGCGTAAGATTTTTATATAATCCTCATTAAACTAAATTATCTTTATGTTATTAACGGCTTCCTCTAAAAGTTGTACACTTTAATAAATCAAATTTTTTAAATATAGTAAATGCAATATTTACCACTCTCCTTGTTAATTTAACAGCCTAATTATTAATAATTCAATGTTTTCTTATATTTGTTATAACATTCAATCATTAAGTAAGTTTCATAACTATACTCAATCCATTTCACTCATTATAACAAAAATGTGTTGCTACAGCATTAATAAACAGGAACGAAAGTAAAATCAATTTAAAGACATGGCAAAAATTACTCTTAATATTAATTACGGATAGTCCAGGTGGAGTTTCGCCGTGAATACTGATACTAATTTAAGTATAGCACTACAAACATTTTATTTAGTTGTAACACTATTTCTTAACAATATCTAATGTATTATGAAATACAAATAATTCACACATACTTCTATATGTTAAAAAAGTAGATATAAATGTTAATATAAAAGATAAGAACATGGGGCTTGTGGATACCACAGTATTTTTAGGAATAATATTAGATTTTAAACTATAGTGGGACCCACATATTGATGAATTGTCGAGTAGACTTAGCTCTGCAGCATATGCCTACATATATTAAATGACATAGATACTGCCAGATTAGTATACTTCAGTTACTTTCATAGTGTAATGTCGCACGGAATCCTATTGTGGGGAAATGCTGCCGACATATAAACAATTTTTGTGCTTCAGAAGAGAGCAATTAGATCAATTTATAATCTTAGGATTAGGGACTTTTTAAGGGAGAAATTAGAGGAAATAGACATTATGACTGTTGCTTCTCAATACACAAACAAGAACTTAATGTACTTGTAAAAATATTAGTTTATTTTCTATAAAAAGTGATGTACACAATTTTAATATAAGAAATAAAAATAAATGAATGGTGCCTGTCACTAGACTGCGAAAAGTTAATAACTCATTCAAGGGTCTTTGTGTGCGCTTCTACAATAAAGTCCCAAGCAAAATACAACAATTAGATATCATGCAGTTTAAATCAACTATTAAAAAAATACTTATTAAAAAAATACTTATTAAAAAAAAAGCTTATTATAAGGTATCCAATTATATAACAGATATATAACAGATAAGAACGCTTGGATTTGAGATGATCCAGCAACTGGATAGATTATTACTTCTAACTCATTATCTTGATTCCATTATTATTAAATGATTATGTTATCATTATATAGTTTTTTCTTTTCTCTCTCTGTTTATAATGTATTGATCTGGTAATGACATGGTTTTTGTAAATGTCATTACTCTTATTAGAGCTGGTGAGTTTCTTGCTTGTTCTTCTTATCAGCCAAAAGACGTCCTGAACAAGTGGTAGGGAGAAAAATGTTGAACAATTCAAATGTACTTTTAAGAAGTCTATTTGAATAAAGATTATTTTGACTTTGACTTCTGAACACGGTCTTATAGTTACGTTAGGAAGGTGCAATTGTCCACATTTAGACACTGTAATTGGTACATTGTGCATAAAAATATCACTAAAATAACTCAGTGCTGATTTGCAGCTTTTAGGGTCTTCACAGACTTTGTGGAGTGTTGAGGTCTTATAGTTATTTATATGTGTAGAAAATTATTTACATTTAAATATGTAAAAAGATTTACCTGGCAGCAGTTCTATCATCGTGTTCGTAAAAAGTTCCCCTTTTTGGAATATACTGAGGATTACTGCGATCCTCATCGTCATCTACCCTGCGCTCGGTCTCCTGAAATAACATAAGATCATGAAAGCAAGCTTTCCATCAGCATATATTCAAATATATAATCTACCCTATAGGTCTACATCAAGAAATATAAACTTATCATGTGTATATATAAATAATTGAGCTATAATCAAATGTAATATCAACTCGATCGGATAATAGTTTAAGCTGTATTGATAGATCAGTCGGTTACCTAAGCATATGTCAAATAAATTGGACATATAGAAACATAAATTTTCTTTTGTTGCAATAGCATGTTTTGTTTACATACACAAACAACATACATAAAAGTACCATATTATTTATACCTTACACTTTTTATCACACTAATTTGATTTTTTCATTTTGTAATAACAAAAAAAAACATATATTATATATATATATATAAATTTAAAATATATTATATATATAGATAGCATAACAATAAAAATATTCAACTACTTTAGAAAGTAATTTTAGATATTTATTAATGTTAATTTATGAATGTAGCTTTTTAATATTGAAGGTATTATAGAAATGATCAGATGATCTGAATGATGAAACAAATAATAGATAAACAAACAAACCTGACTCTCATGGTCTCTATCAGATCTCTCGGAATCACTCCCTTGCGAATCATAATCGGATTCAGGCTGTTCCACATCCTGTAAAGGTCCATCAACTTTTAATAATTGCATTATTCACTCTTAAACGTGGCGCGTTACAATTTTTGGAGTCTAAACACATCGGCAGCTTCTTAGTGAATGGTGTACAAGTCGTGACCTCAATATTACAAAAAGAAATGGGCATTCCGTCACGCGAAATACAGGAGAAAGTGGCCACGGAGGAACCATTTTGAGCGGCAAATGAAAGTAGTCTATTTGGGAATAAATGTCTTGAGAAGTAAATGGTGCACGAAACTTACGTTTCCTGAGTTATTGTGATCGATATCCTGCGATGCATCCGAATATTCGCCGGAATCATCATGCTCTCTTCTTGCAACGGACGTCATCTCGGCGTCCTCGCGATTCACTCGTAAAATTTCCAGATTTGCAACCTTAATTCACAGTTAAATAACGAACACCAAACAATGCTTGTCGTACTTGTTAAACGTTTATACCTTCACACTAGGCTACACACGATATTTGGTTGGAAATTGAGAACGTCAGTCGTCAAGTCGTCAAAACAAGGGAATCCGCAGCCATAAAAAAAGTTCCATTTCATTTCACAAGAAGCATTACAAATATCAGATTTAATTCCAATTAGATTTTAAATTTATTCCAAACTAAACTTATTAAAAACAGAAAGAAATGGAAGTTTACGTGGGTATTTAGCACTTCAATGGATTCTTAATATTTTAATAACCGCTAATCACGGCCATCTAAATGGTTGAATGATGGAATAATATTCTTTATTCCATTTCAGTATTGTTTAAAAAAACTTCTTTTTTATTTGGTCCGAATCTTGTCCGAATTATTAGTTTAGGTACAAACAAAACAAATTGCAGTTTATTATCTTTCTACCAAGACAAATTTAATAGAAAAAAGTGTATTTCTTCAACATAATATAAAAAAGAATTTTAAATTATATTTAAGGTAAGGGATTTCTTTAATCATTATTTAATTTTCTGTGGATTACGGTTACTTTTAATCATTAAATTTCTTAGCGAGTTTGATTCGGTCTATGATTAGTCTATGGGTGTAACTAACTAGGGCTTTCATCCCGGTATTGCGAGATTCCGTAGAGTTTATAAAAGACGAACGGCTAAACATCTGTAAATAGAAAAATAACGCCGTTGTTCTTTACAACCAAAGGAAGATCCAGTAATCGATTAGTTTCTCTTTGCTCGTGGATGCAAAGGTGAAAGGAATGATTTTATTGGGAATTATAGAATGAAATATATTTTAAAATAGAAGTTTTTTTAAAATTATAATACTTACATAAGTAACGAGGCCTAATTCGCGTAGGTACCCTTTTAAGAACAAGTTCAATTAAATCAATATCATTTTCCATTTCTTGTGAAATCTTACTTCCATAATTTCACTATTGTAAATACTTCGGTTACGAAGCATTCATATTTATCATTTTACCCTATAAAAATAGTATAAAAAATATAGTGCATTCTCATCTATAATACTACTCTTTGGTTCTCATTTCACGTTTGGTTGTGGACAAACACTTGTCGATTGTGTGTGATTTAGATTTCTCATTGTGGTTCATCTGTAATTCACAAGATGCTATCACGAGTTTTTATTGAATTCGTTTGGAAATTAAAATTCAATTCAAAAAAAAAATTCATTGATTTGCCTTTTTAAATAAATAAATGATTTGATTGGGAATAGCTTAGAGTAGTGCCACCTACTTCGCTATTGAGAAGAAACATGCTATTCGTTTTATTTTCTAGTCTATTTATAACACTTGCTTATTGGTTTTTCGAAGTACACGACAGAATTATTCAGATGTGGTGCTAAATATATTCAATTCGAGTGAGTACTTATTATATTTTCTTGGCTTATTTCCCTAAAGAATATACATATATCTGAACTTATAAGACAAAACTTTTTTGTAATATTTATGTTAAATTAAAAAACAAAGAAATTTTAATACAATTAATATTTATTTTATTATTCGTTCATTTTTAAATACTAAAAAAGAAACGAAAGCACTAAAAAAGCACCTCAACTAGTTGGCGACTCTAGCAAAAGTTCTTTTCGCAGGAAACGAGTGTAGTAAAGGCAGTCATTTCCGTTCATTTTAACTAACATATTAAAAAACTGAAATTGGAAAAGTTGGAAACTTAGATATCAATACAAATACGAAAAAGAACAAATAGAATATGAGTTGTTTATTGAGTTTTGAAAACTACTTTTAAACATGAAAGAAAACTGAAAGGGTTGTCATAGAGAAATCAAGAACATACCGTAGCGACATCTAGTTTGATTTCGGGAACTAATGTTTTTCTTTTAAATGCTTCCTCATTGTAGTCATAATATACTTAGAAAATTTGACAAAAATAGACACTGTAACAGAGATAAATACCTAATAGAGAGAGAAACTAAACATTGAATAGAGATCAGAAATAAAATAAAAGGTAAACAAAACGAAACACATAAAATTCTTATATTTATAAACAATTAATGGTAATTACGATTAATCAGTGAAACCATTATTCGTCAATTCTCTATAAATTATGTTACCGTTGTTGACCTAATAAAATGTTATTACTTCTTTGAGAGCTGGTTGATCGTCCTGAAATGGTGGTAGGTCAAAAAATATTGTACCATTCAGGAGTACTTGATAAGTTGAGGTGCTTAATAAGTTTATTTGAATTAGTAAATAATTTTGACTCGGGACTTTTCCGAGACATAATTATTTCAATATTCCACGCCAGTTTCAGTCGCGGTGTTGAAAATGTGCAGTCCCGAAATATCGAGATTAATTAAAGGATTGACAACTAGCAACATTTAGTGTCACTGTCATTAATTTTTCGTCGTACGTAAGCGAAAGCGATCAAGCAAATTAAAATATTTATATAATTATCCTATATAATTTTGATCTTATTGAGCTAATTTATTACACCAGCTCATAAATAAATAAAGGAATTAATTAATACTCATAATGGAAAAGTAAAATTATTTCCTAAATAATATAATCTTGTTAAGTGTATTATAAAAACTTATGATTTTTTTAATTAGTTCCAGCTCATTAAGCCAAGAAGAGGTAAAGACTGTCAAACTTTTGGCCAAAGGTGTATTGGAGTTGTATGAACCACCTCTTACAACTATAAATACTCATTTGAAAGAGTTGACGTAAGTTTTGTTACTGAAATCAAATTTTTCTGATAGTTTTGATCTTGTTTCTTACCTTAACGACTACCTACTAATACTTATGAAATCTTAAACAATTATATCTATTTATTAGATAGCAAACTTGTTTATTAAGATTACTAAAAACTTCATAAAAAAACTTTAAAACTATTTTTTATACTATAGATATCACATTGTTGGAAGTCGGTTAATATGAATCTGTCATCAAAGTAATTTTTAAGATTCCTTTTTTGTATGGTAATATTGAGCATCTTAGTTTTGTCTACTATTGTACTGTTTTTAATTGATATGGATAGTTTTGAGCTATTACAATTAATGGTTTGATTTTTATCTTGTATTGTTTTGTTTAAAACTTACTGTTAATATAAAAAAAATCTAAGAAGAAAATATGGAGCTAAATTTTTTGATGTTTAATTTGTACTAAGTGAGTTTGCCAAATTGCATTATTGCACTTATTATAAGGATGGCAGTATTACACTATTGATGTTAGTAGAGCACCTTCTAAAGCTCAGTGTATAAATTCTTATTGGCAGCGTCTTAGTTAGTGTTTGTCAGTAATATAACAAAATAGTACCTGTTATTAAATAGTTTGGTTGCATTTTGGTGTTTGATAGGGAGAAACAGGATGCAGTGCATAATATGCTTACTTCAGAGCGCCGTAAGCTTGAAGATGTACAGAATGATGCTACATTGGATGCTTTGGTAATTTTTTTTTTTTTTACTTAGTAGTAGAAGTTTCGAAGAGATAAGTGAAAGAAATAGTTTTAATACTGATCTCAAACCATTTTAAAAGTAGACTGCAAATTTGTGGGGTAATCATAAAGATATCAGGATTCACAGTCACAGTCAGTTGTTGCCACTGTCTGCTTATTGTGGTAATAATAATATGAAATTAGTGTTACTTTATTAAAGCTGATAGTGTATTTAGATTTCAAAGTAGCTTTATTGCCAGTAAACAGTAGACTACAGTATTTTTATGACTTCATCTATTTTAATATATGTTATTCATACAGTTTAACATATCTCTAACCATATTGTTCTTTTTTTTTTCAGTTAGCAGACATTGCCAGTAACAGAGAAAAACTTGTATCTATTTCTAGTACAATGATGAGTTTACATAAGAGAGTACAATCTTTACAGGTGAGTGTTACTATTTTAAATACCTGTATTTAATTTACTTACATACTACTGATAATGACATTGTGTTAGTTAGTCTATATAACTGTCCATGCATTTGTCTGATTGTCCATGTCTGTCTTGATTGACTGAATGTCTGTCTATCTGACACTCCATACCTTTGTCCAACTCGCTATCCAGTTATTTGTCTATCTGTCCACCTGTTTGTCTAACCATCAAACGTCTATCTGTCAGTCTATCCGTATATCCACCTGTCTATATATCAGTCTATCCAACCATCTATCTATTTACGAACTGCCATCTACCCGCTTGTCCATCCATCCGTTAGTGCACTTGTTTATCTATCAGTAAGCACACTTATTTGTCTGTTGATCCATCCAAATGTCAGTCTGTCGGTACATTTGTCTGTCTGTCTTCAGTCTATACATTCATCCATCTGGCTGTCTATGCTTCCCATCTACTCTATTGTCCACTGTTTATCCATCTGTCTGTTCCTCTCTGCCTATATATATATCTGTCTGCCTATTCATATGTCTGTCTTATCTATGTCTATGAGTCTGCTCCTCCTCCCGCTTATCCACTGTTTGTCCATATATCTGTCGGCCCAATTTTTCATCTATCTATTCATCCAACTGTTAGTCTGTTTGTCTATCTATCTACCCTCTCTCACATATTTGAAATTGCCCAAAGGAGCCTTTTTTTTTTCAATGTATATGAAATAGTTCCCATGTCATAAAACTTACCTGATTTAAAAGTTGAATTTTTTTTTGCAGTCACGAGCGGCAAACATAGAAAAAGTTGCAAAGAACAGAATCTCAAGTCCAAGCCCAAGTAGAACATCAACAAGTTAGTGAAAGGACCATACGATTATACACCTTGATGTGATAGTTAATAAGAGTGCAATTGTAATACAATAAGTACAACAAAAAATTGTAAGTGAATTCAGGCTATGACTTTATTGTCGAATGAATATTTGTGGTGGCGTCTTTGAGCATCCAAAGTCCACAATCATCCACTGCGCTCAACATTGAGTTTGTTGGCTGTTTTATTACTGAATACCATAGCAGGGCTCACCATTCACTATAGCTTTCCTCAACAAGTGAAGCCAAAGTGTGGTTAGCTTATCTGATAAACCCCGCTGTGGGAAACCAGACCCAGGATTAACTATTTTACTGTTTTAAAAACAAACCAGTACAGAATATTAGTAGGGAAGTCCACGATGCTAAATCGGGATTTACTCGAGCGTCATAGAGACCTATTGGATTGCGAAGCTTTGATGATAACAAAAAAAAATTCATATAATATATACCTTTTCATTGGTGGGGGAAGTGATTTTTAAATAGATTTTTAAAAATGTAAAAAAAAAACTGTTGTATGAACATACTCGAGCGCGTCAGATATTGATATCATCCATGTCCTACGCATTTTTAAAAACTGTTGTATGTTAATCTGATCGTATCCATGATGGGGGTGGTTATAAGTAAGGGTTGAAAATTAAAAAAAAAATTAATCGAACGCGTCAGGTTTTTTGAGGGGATGTCAAGTGAACCTAAAAAAAGCTAAAAAGCTCTCATATAATAATCTGACGATTTGGATGTCACGCAAACGTGATCATTATTAGAATGTGCAAAAAAAAATCGTCAGTTTGAAATACTCAAGCGCGTCAGATTAAGATATATATGGTTCATCCTTATGCTCCAGACGTGATATCTCATAGTCTGACGATTATTTACCTAATCTGACAATTAAAAATTTTGTTTTTAATTTTTTCAAATCATTGAGCTTAATTAAATAGAAAAGCACCGAATTTAGCATGCAAATAAAAAAAGTGTATGTTTATTATATGAAAATTTAATTTTTTACAGTATTTTTTATTAATTATCATCTTCATCGCTAGTATCATCTTGACGGGAAACCAGAGTGGGGACGGAGTGAGAGAGTAATAGATAGAAAAAGAGTGAGAGAGAAATAGTGATGCGGAGAAGGAATTATAGGTATCACGTAGCTGCACGCATTAAATCTTATCGATGAATTTTTATTACTTCGGCTTGTGAAAATCGTCAGATTATATACTTTTCGCAATCCTTGAATGATTCCCTTCAAAATTAAAAAAAAATAGCCACGCTCGAGAATATCAAAGTGACTTTTTTTTACAATTTTGTAGCCTTCCCCCTTCTTTACGTCACTGACAAATTGTCAGATTAGAGGTATGTACACATTTTACCATATAACTAGCTCACCTTACCTTAATCTGACGCGCTCGAGATTTTCAGATGATAATTTTTTTTTTTTACTAATCTGATCCTTCGTCCTTGCCGGGCGGCCATTTATATAGGGCTCATACTTGGTCCAGGTACTTAACTGGGTATAAGGTATCCCCCTGTATATTAATCTGCCGCGCTTTAGTAAATCCCGACATCCCCGTTTGGGCTCCCCTACTATATGTAGTGTGCTTATGAGTTGAAGAGGAATCTTTCAAGTTAAGATTGGTGAATTATTATTGTTAAATGGATAATTAAGTACAAAATTTAATTATAACTTTATTTATTACCATGGATACATTACTGTAAGTACTAATGAACAAATTAAATTATAAATACTGTCTTATCTAATCCTTAAATCTATGGTAATTAAATATCGCTTGAAAAGTTCAAATTTTGACCAATCTATTTACTTTTGTATTTCAAAACAAAAACGTTGCAACACATACTGATTTCCTTTTGCTTGAAGTAGTGCTAGTTTTTAAATTAAAAATTGTATATTTATTTTTACAACTTATTTGGTATAAAAATATAGTTTAAAAATACTAATATGCCTTTTGATTTTTTTTTCTTTATAATTAGTCTCAACCCCTATTTTACGACTGTCAAAAATCATTCCTTATCCAACATAATCAAATATATAACTCGTATTTTAGTTATTTAATGAGATATTCCTATTTAAATAAATCGTCACTTTTTTCTGCATAATGTTCAATAAGACTAGTATTTTTTATGTTTTATGGTAAAATATAACTTTCATTTATTTATTAAACTAACTGGACAATAGTTTTGTATTAAATATTCAGTATTTTGTAAGTTTATATGTAAAACGTTCTGGGGCTCACAAAAACATAAACGTCATATCGCCAAAAAATTGTGTTTACACTCATTAAAGTGTTGCTATATTTTTACATGTCAGTTAAAACAGTTTACAATGCTGTACACAAATATGATAATAAAAGCGTTTTCCAAAAAGTATACTTAACAATAATAATATTAGTTGCTACTCGACTATCGAGTGGCGGGCACACAGTTGGTATGTAGAAAATATAAATATATTATTTTTTAATATAGATACAGGTATCTTAAATCATAACTTGGCCATTGTTTAATAAAATTTATTACAGTAATAAAGTATATATTTACTGAATAAGTATTCACAATAGAATAGTCACTTCATCGCCGGCGAACAAACCGCTCGTTACAAATTAATTAGGCATTTATTGATGAAACAATGAGGACGTATTTAAAAAAAATATTAGTTCCCGAAATCAAACTAGATGGCGCTACGCTCGTTCATGATTTCTCCATGACAACCTTTCCGGTTTTCTTTCAAGTTTAAAAGTTAATTAGTTTTCAAAACTCCTTAAGCAACTCATATTCTATTAGTAATTTTTCGTATTTGTATTGATATCTAAGTTTGGAACTTTTAAAATTTCAGTTTTTTTAATATTCTAGTAGCGGAAATGACTGTCTTTAGTCCATTCGTTTCCTGCAAAAATCAACTTGCTAGAGTCTCCATCTAGTGGAGGTGCTATTTTAGTGCTTTCGTTTTTTTTTAATACTTCCTCATTGCAATATAACCTACTTACTTACATATGTTTTAATAAAAAAAGTTTAAAAAATAAAATGAAAAAGTATATATTGTAACAAAAGCTATTTAACACGGTATAACCGTCATTTTGGCAAAGGAGTACGTTCTTTCCAATCCATAACTATTTTTTTTATAACACATTTGGCCGTTGATTTAAGACACTGTACAATTTATAATTCTTACTATACCTAATCTGTGGGAGATCGCATCTAAACTAAGATATTTTAAGATAAAGAAAAATATTATAGATACATAGTATTAAATAAGATCTAAGATCTTGGGCGAGTATTTTGTTTGCTACACTTGATATTATCTAACCGTGGCACTGAATTTAGTTCACATCTTTTATTATTTTAATAAAAAGTTATCAATGATATGAACTTAACTATTACTGACAATGTTCTTGGAGAAGATAACGTCTAAAAGGAACTTTTGGTGGTTAATTACAATACCGTTCCTTATAACCAGAGGTCGGAATTAGGTAGAGTTATTTATGTTCTTGCATCGAAATGTTGATATTAATGTGGACCTTACCGGGATTTCTTTATTTCTTTATTTCTTCTTTCTTTCATTGAAGTAAGTTTGGTAACGTCGTGCGTGCAGTAGTTTAAATCGTGTAAAAGTAAATAACTTTTTATTTAAAAAAACACGGGATTTTTCTGCTCTTTAAAATTAATCTCGGGATTTGAGGCATATCCACTTTATTCTTTCGCTGTATGAAATCAGTGTAAGTAGATGAATAACTCTACCTAATTCCGACCACTGCTTATAGGGGAAGTTTGGCACCATTCGTACACGGGGAACCTTCATACAGTCACTACTACATCTTGTAGAAAAGCCTATTTATTACGACTTTGTGTTAGTGGATAGGCGCCGGCGACTGCCTGTTGTCCACGAAGTTAGCCACACATGCAGCCACTGCGAGCGAAACTAGAGAACTGTTAGTGTTTTGGCATGTTCATAGTAAATATTTTGTTAATGTTTTTGGATCTTCCGTGCTTTAATCATACGTCAAATTTTATTGAATTATTGCTTAATCGTAAGTGAATACGATTAAGATAATAATATATATCTATATTGTGAATTTTCTACGTGGGTTTTGTGTTAGAAAAAATAATTTAATTATTTATCTTCGGGGCACGTGCGTACATTTCCAGAAAGGGCAAATTCGTACGCGTATATATGTACCCCCGCTAACAATTTTTATTATTTTATCAGAATATTTAGAAAAAATGATCGGAATTTTAAGAAGAAATATTAATTAAATGAGTTTTTTTGCGTCTGTAAAAGGTGCTTTTTAATAGTAAAAAACAAATTGTTTTACTGAAAAGACTAACCAATTGAAAAAGTTCATAAACACATTTCGGACTCACGATATTGGAAGTCACAACACTATCAAATGATTATGATAAAGTTTTGAAATATAAATGTTTGCAAAATTGTTATGAAACTGGCTTCGTTGATATAGAATGGATGCACGGTTTTCGTAAAAAGATAGTTAGACTCTAAGCCTATATGTCGTTTAGTTAATTACATCGTTGATAAGTTTAAGATCAATGAAAACGATCTTTTTAATTCATTTGTTGTTTTACTTAATATATATGAAGTTACCACACTGTCTGAATGTTCCCCGGCCCATGTACGATTGTACCCATTAATAGGGGTAGATTCGGACATTTCATTAGTTTTTAGTAAAATTCAATCCTTTGATATATTATACAAGATATCGACTTTGAACTTTTTAAATAAGGAGCAGAAAGTATGCTTTATGTTTTAATAAGTAATGAGTAATTTATCTTTGATTATAAATATTTTAAAAATCATTGACTAAAAAGTGTATGAATGGTCCCAATCTTCCCCTAACTTAAGTGGGTCGTTTAAATTGAGGGGCTAAATAATTTGATAATATCAGTATACCCCCAAAATACAGCCTGGATAAATACATATAATGCTAACAAGCCATATCGTGCAACTATAGTGCATAACTAAATACAAAATACCTAAAATGGTATGCAATATAATCTATATATATAGCCAAGAATACGACTTAAAAATAATAATGGCACCTTTGCGTTCTAAGTACCTAACTATTTAAGACGTTCTTTTACTAAGCGATGGTGAGATCGACACTAAATCTATGCCGAAAATCGATAAGCATAATAAAATTAATTTTGGCAGTGGCTATATTTGTGTGTACATGTAATTTATATTGTGCTTTCGAATCACTTACATTATGCTAATGAATAATTAATATTTTTTTGTTATGCTTCGATTCATACTCATTTTATTTTCAACAAAGACTTCTACAGGAAATCTTTGGTTTTTAACAAAAAGCTTTTTAAACAGGCAATATTTATCGGCAACTTAGTGCCCTTCAAAATAACATCGGTCATATCAAAAATGTTTAGTTATATGGCCGGGATATATAGAACTGCAATATTGCACAACTTGGCTAGCAACAATTGCAGCTCATTATTGCCGAGAAATATTGCCCGTGTCTGTACAATGCTTATAATGTGTAAGCTGAACCAAAATGGCGACTGCGCTGTAGATTTTCGGTTCTTAATCAAGGTCTGGGAGCTTTAACTGGAGATCAGAATTATTGATAAAAATATTTTCATATCATTAGATGTACTTAAAAATGTACGTCGTAGATGTACGTATAATTTCGGCTTAACTTTAAATCCACATACAGCTGCCTTACCAATGGCCTACAATCGTGACCAAACGAGCTAGAGTGATACGATTTATGCCAAATACCAATTTTTTTTATTCCTTATATATGAAGACTAAATCTTCATATTAAAGATTTAAAAAAAAAAACCTTATTTTTAACAATTAAACGTATCGCTCTAACATCGGACGTTGGTTATAATTGTTAAAATATACAGATATAAAAATATTTCCACAGTAGAAAACGATTTGTCAGCTCTATGAATACTATACAAAGTCTTTCGTGATGTTCAGCAGAATAACCCCCCTGTTAGTAGTGACAACTTTCGTGTGCACACAGAGGGGTCTGATCAGTTCCTCCCGGTGTTATTTCTTTCTGTAGGACTCTGTGACGTCACAGAGGATAGTTACAACGAACGATTCGATGCCCGACTCGTTGTCACCCCTAGCGATCTTGAAGTAGCCATTCTCGCCCCACCAGTCACCCCAGCTGTTGGCTACCAACTGGAAAATAAATTTTCAAATGACTAAAGTAGTAGATAAGAGAGTTAAGCAACTTCCTCAATGACCGGTTATAAGATGGGTGACCAATAATATATAAACTCGAACTCCTCCGTGTTTTCGAAGGTTAAGTCGTTGGTCGCAGCCGTATGTGCCATCATCAACACCCATTAATACGCACTGAGCTCGTTATTCTTATTATTTGATTTCATCTATACGGGAAGCATGTGCCTCAGCAGTGTCTTTAATAGGTTGATGATGCCCCGTTAAAGTCTTAAGTAGCAACTAACAATCTTTACTTCTTTCAGCGCTCTCATTCAGAAAAGGTATCTGTACAACTGGGATCGTATATATTTACTCTTGCCGTGTCTTATCTTCTTCAATAAAGTTCTTCTTCTTCTTCTTCAACTTTCAATAAAGTCGTTCAGTTATTACAAGTACAAGACTAAATATATCTTCTGTCAGCCGCCTTGACGGCTGTCAAAATCACAGACTATCAAAACAGTATCTATATACAATTAATATTACTTACCCAGTACTTCTCACCGCGCTCTTCGCCCCATCCGATGACTCTGACGCTATGCAGACCTTGCAGCTGGTTGTTACCGAATCCAGAGCGGCGGTATACACCGTCACGGTAGTGGAAGAAGTCCTGGTATACGGTCATGATGGCTAGAAAGATAATTATAATGAGTAGGTAAAACAGTGCTTTGCAATGGGAAATTCAACTAAAAACTGCGAACTAGACTTGCAAGATGCTAAGTCTTCTCTGTCATCCTGTATAGTGTAGAATCCTGGACATTGACAGAAGCTTAGTGTAAGAAGGTGCATTTGAGTCCGTAGGAAGCAAGTACTGTGTCGAATGGGTAAATCGCTCGAAGTAACTCCTAACAATATAAATAAATGCCAAAAGTACGAGTTATTACATTTAATCGTCCAAGAAAATATCCAGGGCAAGCGAAGTGTGGGCAGGAGGAGAGTGCTGTGACTTAGAAATTCCCGCTAATGATTCGGAGCACTCGATCGACGTTTAGGATAGGTGCATTCAAGGTGGAAATTGCCATAATAATTGCCAAACAGTACTAGCGGTTGGCACACGCAGAAAAAAAAAAAAGTTATACAATCATCCGCTCGTGACAATTGGGTTTTAGTGTCCATCCTACCTCTAGTCGACTAACCGCGATATGTTTTAGCGAGTTTTATAATCAACTTATAAAGTTTTTGCGACCTGGCAAGAGTTTGAATGAAGTAAGAACTGTTAATAGTTAGAATACTATATGATTATTTAGCTATTACCAGTATCTTTCTTCATTCAAATTCGCGTCTATTATTTAACAATATTTTCTTCAGTTAAGATATTTTCTCTAGTAATTACTTCATTCAATACGAGTGTCAATATTTGAGAACAAGCTGCATGGAGCAGGGCGGGACGTTATAAATGTAACCGCCAATTTACCTATACATTTTTTACATTTACCTATATTTATACATCTTGAATCAATTTGGAGGTCACTTTTTTATCAGTATCTATCATGTGCCGCTCTGATGTTATCTGTAATTGCTATTTTGAAGGACGTCCTTTGAGTAAATTATCAATGAGATTGTACCTACGTTGAGGACATGATATTGAGTATTTATAGTAAGATACGTCCTTTTTTATCTCAAAGTTATAGGAAACTAACTTTTAACCAGCGGCTTCGCCTGTGATCCTGTCTTATACATATAAAACCTTCCTGTTGAAGCACTAATAGGTATATTTATGAATAACGAAATAAATCGGTGTAAAGTTTAAAAGGTACAGATAGCGAGAACCGACTTTATAGAAATGACAGGTAATAGGTTTAAGTTTAGTATAAGATACTAGGTATTTGGGATTTTTGAGTTTCTTGTATAATGATAACCAGTCAAATTAGCGTTTTACTACGGAATGAGAGATAAGCTAGAAAATTACACACGGTTTAATTTTGCCAAAGGTGTCGTAAAATTCCGTCTCTGCGTTCTTAGTATCAAATGGTCACAAAAATCCTTCTTTTACCAGATTATCTCGATTCCTTTACAAATAATACTTAGAAATTTGATGATGTTTAATAATTTTCTTTTATGAAAATAATTGAATGATTATATTCTTTTATAAGGTTGTATTTCGCCATTAAAATTGAATATTAACAAATAAATTTTAACTATTTGATTTTGATTTGTATCCGAAATAGAAAAGAAATAAGTAAGTATTATAATAGTAGTTTATACAACTGTCATATAAGAGCGGGTATTAAAACACATGAGTCTGTTTTACACACGATAATTTGTTTGTTTAATTTCAATTGTTCCTATGAGTCAAGATAAAGTAGTGTATGAAACTGCATATAACTTAGGTATTAAAACACTCGATTCAACAAATTATCGTGTGTAAAACAGACTCGAGTGTTTTAATACCTAAGTTATATGCAGTTTCATACACTAAGTACTTTATCTTCACTCATAGGAAAAATTTAAATTAAACAAACAAATTATCGTGTGTAAAGCAGACTCATGTGTTTTAATACCTAAGTTATATGCAGTTTCATACACTACTTTATCTTCACTCATAGGAAAAATTGAAATTAAACAAAGTAGGTAGGTTACAAGGAAGTAATTTATTTGGTATAGTAACTATTTAAACTGTGGATGGTGAAGTTATGAAATTGAATGTTAGCTACTGCATTCTCGTGAAATGCGATATTTCTGCTTGTAGTTATTTTCCAATTTATAAATTTTTGGTACATTTTGACGTACAATTTTTTTGACTTTTCTGGGAGGAGACTTTCAGTTAACGCCGATGCCGCGTCTAGAATATCTGGCGGAGTGAAAATCTCGCCGTCACTACTTTCTTCTCCAATCATATTTTAATCACTTACAGGATTTTAGTAAACTTTTTTGGAATCCCGAATACAATTTGGAAGCGCGGGAAATTAAGTTCAAACTACACATGCGTGCGTAATTTTTTCACAGTTCGAACTGCGCAACTGCGCATGCGTGCGCCTTTTTTTCATATTCAGCCTAAAATCATAAACTAGTTGAATGAATAAAAAAGATAGCGGTACTATAATGAGTTTTATTTTTCATTTTATGTATATGCGTTTATAAAGTGCGTATGTATAGAATCGTCTTTGAATTCGTAATTCGAATTTTTCGGTTTAAGTGTAGATAAAAAACTTTCACTTTCACCGTGATAAAAATAATAAATCAATAATAAAATATTATACACGTTTCAATGTCATTGTTATCGAATAGATAGTTCATATTTTTGATAAGATAAGTATAAGCAAACGAATGACCGATAAATTGAAATTTGGCATTCAACAGTACTGTATCTAGGTACTAACTCGGTTTGAGTACGGGGAAAACCCCATTTATTACTTTCGTCTTTTTACATAGGTATTAAAACTAAATATTGAGGCTCTCTATAATGAAATAACTCCACCATACTCTGTCTATATTCGTCTCATTGACTGCCCTGTTTATTTCATCTCGCTTGAAGGTAAGCGATATGTACCGGAAACCATAAAACTACATCGTTTCGGCGGAGTATTGCATTTTGTTGTACGTTGTTGTATAGATCGCTGACCCCACCCGTACTATAGACTTTACTATGCGGAAACGATAGAGTTCTATGGAGAACGATATGTATCGTTTACATTTAACTCTCACATAACTCACTTTCGGTTCATGCTAGTTTCTTCGCCTGCCCTAGGAACTAAAAATACCTACTTAGATATTATTTAATAAAATGAAAAGAACATTCCGAAATTTAGTTTCTAGATGTGATAAGGCTTTCTGGTTCTTACCATGGACAGGTCCTGACTGCATGATGTCATACATGATATCGATTTCCTTCTGCAGACGGCCGGGCGGGCCGACCTTGTAACGGGAGGTACGCTGAGGCACAGAAGCTGGTGGTTCACACCCATCCTCTATTAGGCTCGCGCGACGATGCAGCTTGCATTGTGACGCTGTCGCTTCATACGGGTAGCATTCGTCGTCTACTATGCTGTTATAAAAAAAAGCAATGTGTTACATATAACAAAAAAAAATATGTCTAAAAAAATCACGAAATATAATGTAGCTGTTATCTGTGAATTTCAATATAATGTTAAGAACATAATTGACAAGACAAAAAGTTGATAATTATTTCAAAGACCACAATGCGTAGACTTACTTTATAATGCTAACCGATGTTTTTTTCTTGTAAGTTTAACATTAATAAACAAATAAAATATGTAAATAGGTAATATCACATACATTGCTCAGATCTAAAATTAAGAAGCTCACGGATAAATAAAAAAACAAACGAGGGAAAACTTATTAAGTATATCTTATTTATGTAAATTGTTAAATGCTGCATTAATCAATTCCAAAAATGAACAGGAATTAACAATATCGCATACTAGAATTGACCTATCATCTTCACCAGGTTATATGGGTACCCCCCCCTCCTGGAAAATGTCTCTAGATATGCCCATATGTGTCGTACACCTGTAAATAAAACATGTGTTACCTATTTCCACCGTTTAACATTTAAATATCTCTTACCCTTGATTCTTGGCGAAGTTCCAAGCTACATCGATGTGACCTCCGTCGCAGCCTCTCTGCATCCTCCTGTTGCAGGACAGCAGGCTCTGAGGGCTAAGCTGCAGGTTCTCAGCACCGTTCGACTGGATAGCGAACCTGATACAACAAATTGTACAGTTTTAGATTATTTTAATAATTACTGGCGTAACTATACCGTTTGAGGCCCGTGGCAAATTCATCGGATATTCAATTTTTTTTTACTAATTGCATAATAATAAATGTCAGCTGGAAGGGTCCCCGGTCTCCCTGACCGGGGGCCCCTTCCAGCTGGGAGCCCGTGACATTTTGCCGGCTTGCCACCCTGTAGTTACGCCAATGCTGGTCATTTTAAAACTTAAAACTCTATAAAACGGATTTATGCATTTCGATGTGGACTTAAGTAAATAAGTCAGTGACTTTTTAAGTGTGCATGTGGCATCTTCAGAGAGATACGGAATAGAAGTTTTTTTTTTAAACATAATGTCTATACATACCCAAGTTAAATTCGTTATTAACAAGTCATTGGACGATGGAGGGTTAGGATCTCATTTGCGAAGCTGTGGTTATGATTTAAAGCGTTGAGAGAGACGGATAGCGAATCGCGAGCTAATCATGTGATAAAAGATAACATCGAAATACAATACTTAATAAACGTCTGCGTTATAAAAATAATATTCACGCATAAAAAATCTTGATTCATATGCACACTATTTGCCTACATGTGACGATCGATAGATTTGTTTAAAGAAATCATTAGTAATTGGTTACTTCTATGAAGTATAAGTAACTAACATTAGAAATCATAAGATCTTACTAGCTCAAGATCAATGCCGCTTATGTTACGCTTCTCGCTCTCAGCATAGCAGTATTCTGAAATCTGAGCTCTCAAGCCTCTTGAAGCATTCACAAGGCGCGCTAAAAATAAAACATGATGAGACCCTCAAGTCCCGCGGGATCTTGTCTCTCAGAGGTCGGTTACCTTTTTTGAGTACTGGTTTAAAGCAATTTGCAGCTGCAGATGTTTAATGTTAATTTAAAATTATTAATTTATAACAAACACATACACCTGGTTTCTGAATGGAAATTTAAAGTTGAGCACGTCTCAAACCATTTTCATTTCTGATTTTATTTTTTAATGTTTAGTGGATGGCAGTTTGATAAAATCTTTTTGCCTTGTGAAAAGTAAAAAATAAATCAGTTGAGATTTTGTAGGTACTTTTCTCAATTCAGATACCGGCCGTTAACCAAGTTACAAAAGAACAAAAAATATTTAAATTACCTTCAGGGTTGGCATGATTAAAACAAGTTGTTTTAAACACATGTTTAAAACAGTTTGAATAAAAACATGTTTTTTATCAAGTGTTTTAAAACACTGATTAAAACAATGTATAAGAAAAAACAGAAGAAAAAAAAACAATCTCTAAAATTCCTTTTCATTGCGAATTTCAACGAATAATTGGAAATTAATTGGCATTTAAGACTCTAACGAGCTCGACATAAAACTCAACCGGTCTACGCTATTGCCATGTTTTATTTTTGTACTCTTTTTGGCAATGTAATTAAAAAAACGTACTCGTATTATTTTTATGACAAGTAATTTGTATAATCAAACAAAAATGAAAGTGCCTACCACAATAATTAACAATAAATATTTGTTGCATTTTTAGCATGTATTAAATACACAACAAATACACACAAACAAAGTATTTTTTTTTAATTATAACAATTTTATTCAGAAGACAACAAATAAAATCAAAATTGTATGTCAAATAATATGACAAATGTTAAGAACATGACTTAAATTGAATAAGATAAAATTATAAACGAACAAATCAAGTTAGTATCGAAATGTAACTTATAACGATCACTTTATCTTATTTAAGTAAAAGTAAATAACTTTTTATTTAAAAAATTATGGGATTTTTTCTGCTCTTTAAAATTAATCTCGGGATTTGAGGCATATCCACTTTATTCTTTCGCTGTATGAAATCAGTGTAAGTACATGAATAACTCTACCTAATTCCGACCACTGGTTATAACATACAGCACGAATGTAAAATGTCGGATTTCATTAGGATAAGATTAAATTCATTTCCATTTATCGATTTATTGACTCTAGAAATGAAATATATAAATGGTTCAACTTCCTGATTAAATATTAATGGCCTAAATTAAAATAAAACATAAAAAACAAAAGAAAACACTTGTTTAAAACAATTTGGTTGATAAAATTAAAAAAAAAAACTGTTTTTTTTCCAACCCTGATTACTTTATATATTGTCAACTTAGCAATAAGTAATTAACATAGGGTAATCATAAGTTTGTAGAGCCGAAAAAATAGCTACCTTATAAAAACTTACAATACAACACTACTGAAATTTCCGTTCTTCTATTAATTATCGTATTAAGTATAATTTAATCAGCAACTAGCAATTATTCACAATTTAAACAAACATGAGAATAATTAATATATACATTTACTGTTTATATCCATCCATTTCCAGCGAAATTTAAATTAATATTATAGTACGCAAATAAATTACCGGAAACTCGCTTCACCAGATAATTATTAAGTTCACGACACCATTTTTAAGAAGTATCAGAGGTTATCGTTTATCCTCTGTATTAGATTAGGTATTTTTGCAGACGTTTTAAAAATAATCATAAATCGCTATCAGTTAAGTAATGTTAATTAATTTCATTTGACTACCAAAACTTTGAACTAAAAACAAAATAATAATAAACACATTTTTAAGTTTTTAAACAAAAAAACTAACTTTTAAGATTTACCAGATTTATGCGCTGAACAGATTTCAAAATCAAAAAAGCTCTATGTTCGACTGATATGTACATATATTCACCGATTCCTCCGCAAATTGTTAACTGATTTACATTTTTTTTGCCCTAGGTAATAACGGGTATTCATATTTTGGAGAAATTATAATAAAACTGAAATATAACGCGAACGAGAAAGGATATTGAAGCCGAAGAAGGCCAAGACTCATCTTTCACAATCAAATCAATCGCGTGCTGCTAGAAAGTAATACCAGAAGTAATCAAAACCGGCGAGTACGTATAAAAAGAGTAATAAAAATTGCGAAGATATAAATAAATATTAATCATATAAAACTACACTGATAGCAACAAGCAACAAAGCAAAGCCATGTAGCCAGCCAAGATAATAACCGAGTAAGTAATACTGCAATGATAATAGGTGCCTAAACAACTCCTAGACGTTTCTCTTTACTTACCATGCAAAACATTTTATGGGAGAAGACAGATAACTCCAGCTATGTCTACAGCCCCTAAAATTCTCGTCAAGATCTATACTATTTAAGAGGAGCCAGGCATATTTTACTTTGTACTTTTGATTTTGTGAGTAGAAGAAATTAGTCAAAATAGTACCAGGAATATTTTAGATTAGATTACCTATCAGACATAACTCCAGCGATGGCTACAGCCCAGTCAGATCCACACCAACCCTGATCCACAATAGGGGAAATATAGCCAGGCCAGACTTCCCGGGCATCGAAGTTCGTGGGGTAAGTTACATCCTTGTTGTGGCGAATTGGTCCCATACGCTTTGTCTCAGGTGATAAAGGAAGTGTACCTAAAAAGAAATAAAAATAATGTTATTATTTTAATATTTTTAAACAGTTGTATGAGTGAGACATGCTAGGTATCGATAGATCGTTTTGTTAATAACTTGTTCAGAATAAACCTTCATTCATGCATCATATGTTTTAAGTCGAATATTACGGTAGATCAGCTGTTTTCCAAATTGTATGCACAACCGAGCACTTTTAGCTTAGGCGTGCTTGATGTCCAACATCATCATCCTCTGATCATACACTATCAATTTGATCATGAAATGCGTGTATTAGCCTCCCCGACTTCTAAATCCTTCCACTTTTGTTAAAGATTATCATTATAAATATTTTATACTTCTACTCATTATGCTGTTTTTTATGACATCAGACATCATCCTCAAAAATACACGATCAATCTGATCGCAAAGGTGTGCCTTACCCTCCCCGACTTCTACTTCCTTCCACTTTCGTTTTGTAAATCTAAGCATTCATATGGACAGATAGACGGAAAGTATATTTGTTTTATACTATGTAGTGATTTTGCCGATACCACATTCTGGTTGATTATATTTTTTAGCAAATATTGTCTTTTCCTACATCCATAAACATAAATATTTCACATATCACATGCATGAATGCGAAAAACTCAATCCAAATTCAAATAATATAGGACACTTTTGGACAGCTGTATTAACACGGCGGGCGGTCTATGACCTTAGTTGCGAAAACCGTTACTGTCGAGAATCCTTATCGAGATATTTATTTATTGCGATAAACTTAAGCGCGTGTATTTTAAGGGTAAGTTTTGATTTATTTTATCCGTCTATTACACCTTGGCTTCTCAATGATGTGTACTTTCTGACACGGTTTTTTTAATTTTGCTTAGAGGACAATGCAATGTTAAATATGGATTAGAGCTATTAGGTAGCCGTAGGTCTTAATTAATTAAATGAAGCAAATCCGTTAACTTCGGTCTCGTTAGAATTATCTAAACAAGATCTGTGCAATGGAGCTGATTTGATCATTGAGTCAGAACGTGACCATAGGAACGTATCCAGAAGGGGCGGATCCACTCCCATGCCCCAAACGAGTGTGTGTCAGGCTGGCAGCTCCACCATCTTTGATTTTGAAATCGAGCCTGTAAGGCGCCGTCGGATTGACATCAGCCGAGCAACGCTACAAAGACTCGTTTATCTCCGAAACTACGAAAATTGGCTATTTATACTTATTTCGTATATATACCAATATGTTTATTACCAGCTTTCCATCTTCGCTGGCGTGGTCCCTAGGGAACTGTTTATTTAGATATCGATTCAAATTAAAAGTTCCCTAGGATACATGGATATAACTTCAATGACAAATTGAATGGTTACAAATGGCGTAGCTTTTCTAAGGAGTTCCATGGCCCCAGCTGTGAATATTGTTAATAATGAACTTATTTGATGTATGAAGAAGGGCATATTCCTAGGGTAGGCCCACAGCTGTCTAGGGTGGGCCCGGCCTACCCTGGCTCCCCCCTAGCTACACCTACGATAGATACTATGGCGACGTTTAAATTCCCCATACAAACTCCCATTCCCATTTTCACCCCTTTATTTGCTGTTTTTTGGAATAAAATACGAAGCGACATATGCGGTGAACATATTCTGGCGTCAAGTGAAAGAACACAGGATATTTCAATTCGCTTTCATATTGCTCCAGTTTTGTTTTTTATTGTAACATGGTAAGGTTCAAATTTCTGCGTATTTACTTCGTGTTGATTTAACTGACTATATATAAAATTCATTCTGTCAGTTTTGTTCAAAGATCCGGGCTGGTCTCGAATCCAGGAGGTGGCGGTATCTTAAAGTCTTCGAGGTAGCCACTTCGCCATAGAGGTCCTTATACGAGTAATACTATATTTGATACACAGACACACACAGAGATACGTCAAAATTATAAAACCCTTCGTTTTGCGTCGGTAGTTAAAAATACTTTTAAAAAATCACCCAGATCCTAGTCCTGGGTACCTCGGGATGGGATTCGAATCCACAAACTTTCGCAAGTCAGGCAACTGCTCTAACCATTCAGCTACCCGAGACCCAACAGGAAAGAGGAATATTTCAGAATCGAATAGACTGATGATGATGAGTAGTTCGGTGGAATAATAGATAAGCGCCGCGGCTCGCAAACGTTAAACGCGCAAGTTTCGCAAATGTCTGTCGCGGGATGGGTGACCAAAAAAATATTATCTCTAGCGCACTCCGTGACTCGGAAGGCACGTTAAGCCGTTGGTCCCGGCTGCATTTGTAATCGTTAATACCTTTCAATCCGCATTGAGCCAGCGTGTAGGGTGGCCTATCCTCCTTAATCATCCATAATAAGGAAGGCCTGAGCCCCAGCAATTAGGACGTAACAGGGCTGATGACGATGATAATAATGATAAAAAAGTGGCTTTGTCACAGAACGTTCATTAGTCATTTTATTATTTAAATGAAAATAAAAAAAAAATACTACACGTGACTACCAGTAAATAAAAGGAATTTAAAACAATGGATTTATGTTTATCTTAATTCTGCATATCATAATTTACCAAACATTCACTTTATAGTTTAGAATATTATAATTTTAAGGTGTGTCTACAACTGTTGTATGCAAATCCCGCCGTATACTTAAAGACAATGAAAAGATTGTCTTACAATTTTGATCCTTATTCTTTTGGGTTTAAACGAATAGTTTGTCGTTTTTGAAATCTTTGTCATGAATGTCACGACGCACGAATGTCATTTGTTTAAATGGGACTACCTATTTGGCACAAGCAAGATTTTATTGGCAATAGAACGGTAAACTTATTCACGCGACTACACTTAGTTTGAAATTGCAAAAGCTTTGTTATGTATGATATGTTAAAGCTTACTCATATTCTTCTATCAGATATCTATATTAGACAATTGTTGAAATTTAATAATGAAGTTGGAACATTATGAAGTTTTATTATCACCTTTTAAACATGTTTTACGTCATTCTTCATTACCAATGCAGTCCGCAATTGTCATTATGTTTATTACTATTGAAATTCTACACGATTATTGAATCTAATTTACGTCATGAATTATTTGTTAGATTTTACCTACTTACATATAAAAATAAACGTTTATTAAATTTACTGCTAGAATGTTTATTTAACTACATACAACACCATTAAATACACTTCTCACAACGCCCAAGCGTAGCGCCCTCCCTTCATTTATAAAAAATGTAGATAAATGTCACAACAGTCCATCAAAAACTTTAAAAATTATTCTCGGTCAAAACAGGTTGAAACGCGTAAATCATGTTGTTCTTTATGTCATACTAGCCTTCCGCCAGCGGCTTCGCCCGCGTGGAGTGTGTTATACATATAGGTAAACCTTTTTTAATGTTTTAATGAAAACCTCTATAAACTACTTTATTTAATTCTATGTACAGATGTGATGTCATTATTATTATTTTTTTTATCTCATACTTCTATTAGAGCTGGTGAGTTTCTTAGTCGTACTTCTTATTAGCCTAAAGAACGTAAGGAAAGAATGTCGAACGATTATGATGTACTTTAAATATTTATTTGAAAAAAGATATTTTGGTTTTGACTATTAGGTTACCTGTGTAGTCCTACGATGTAGATGGTGTCTCACAAGTAACCCTGTATAAAAATAAGTATAGTGCCCGGTACAAAGTAAACCCAATATGGCGTCTAGGCATAATCGGAGTAAAAATTAAAAACGTGAAACAATTATTCTTAAATATTATTTGTAAGTACCAAATAAACAAATCTACATTGAAACAAGTGACACATTACGTATTTAGAACATTTATTACCGATTAGTAACATTTAGATACATAGAGTCTGGGGTGGGTTCGCAGGAGAGAGTCCCGCATAATCCGCCAACTCCGCGCTAGGGAGGAACGGCTATGTGTAACGCATAATTCTCAATTAAATTTCTCCCCGAGCATTTCACCTCTTTCGAATTTTGTTTTCGTTTACTGCGCAGGGTTTACTTTCACGCCGGACCTGCATATGTCCTCACCTAATTTGTAGATCATAGAGTCCTTCAGTTTCTTCCCGTAGAACTGGCTGTAGTTGGCCGCTCTCCACCTGTAGCCGCCTCGATTAATGTTTTCTAAAACCTCGCTGCTCATCAGGCATGGGTCGTCCTCGCACACCCATTCGGCGACACCTGGTGATTTCTGCTCGCATTTGCTGTTGACAAAAAACATTATTTAGTGGAACTCCATGAAAAAGAGAACAAGAGACGAAATAACAGGCGAATCAATGAGACAAGTAGGGACATTATTATTATTAGATGTATATGCTACTTTCATACTGAGTAGCAAAAACAAATAAATTAGCGAACCCGTTTATCTTAGCGCGGATCAGCTATGTTATGTGGGGCTCGCACCCGAGGACCTATTCCTTTAGGTAGGTTTTCACCTAGTTATAAGCCGGGCATGCTCGCTAAAACCCTCAAATATAACCCTCATTTCGGCCTTCCCTTGCGTGTTATCCGTATCTCCCGAATCAAGAGAAATCTCATGATAAAATATTTTGGTCACCCATCCCATGACGGTCCTTTACGAAAGTTCCAAGCTTCGAAAATCGCAGACCGAACGCAAAGCATCATCAGGCTCAGGAAAAAATAAATGAACACAGTAAACAAAATCTAGAATTGACACTTAATTTATTCAATAATGATAATTTTATTATAAAGCAAAGACCTTCAAATACTATCAAAGAAACAGAAGCGACGCCGGCGTCTCATCCGGCCCTTTATATTGTCGATCAAACTACGACCTCAGATGTCGCAGCGACGTTAATTATTATTATAATTGTCTGTGGCGATATATTTTATTAAAGTTTATGAGATAATCTTTGGTCCGTTCCCATAGAGTCAACGTGAATTATGTGGATGTTACAGAATAATATTCTCATGATATTATATGCAGCTGTATCAAAAATATTGTGACCTAGATACATTATAGGCAAAACTTAACCATTTGCCAGAACCCATCTACTACTTATTCCTAAAATAACACAGAATGGTGTCAATTCTATTACGTACCAGTCTCTCATCTAAACTATAATTATAATAATAAACTTTATTTGCATTTCCAACAACACATTCTAATTTATAACTGTTTAAGATTAAAAAAATTAAAACAAATAAACAGAAATAAAATGAAAAACAAGATATATGTCAGTTGTGTATTGCAGCAATGCAAAAGGATCAAGGCTCTGGATACGATTTGCCTACAAGGACGCAAATCACTGATATTCTGCCATGACCCTAAAACTAGTTTCCATATTTAATAATTTAGTTAGTTTTAACGTTATGCCATACTTCTGTACATTATGATAGGGTTTCTCGAAGTGGGGACGCCACTCTTCTGTAGGAGATCCGCGATAAGTTTTACGTAATGTTGGCTCGACGACATGACGATGAAAATTAAATTAAATTACTCCTAAAATTGCCTTTATTTGCAGTAAAAACAAGTTGGGGAATTAAATTTGTTAGTTAAGGGGTTCATCTCTTTTACAGGAGTTCGAGGAGTCAAAAGTTTGAATACGATATAATAACCTTGCTATTGTTGTAATAGTTTAAATAACCGACAGATAAAATTTATGTATAGTCCATAAATTTAATCTAAATTGTGCAACAGAATAGCTACCATTTCTATAAAAATACTATTTACCTATCTTAAATTTCGATGTTTTTGTTTAATTGTTTACCCTTTGGGTGTGAGCCTTTTTTTACCCTATTGTATCCGTTTTCGTTTTATCCATTGGGTACAGAACCCTAAAAGTAGTAATAATACCTGAATAAGTTTTTAATTCAAACAATATCTTAAGTTATTTCCTTAAACATTAAAACGCACGAATAAATTTTAAAATGTTATTTATGTAGCTGAACTAATTAGCTGTCTGGCATTAGTTTATTTTATTATTAAAATTCAAATTTGAAGTGATATACTACTTATTTTGTTTTGGGAGTGCAGAGGAGCACTCAAAATCAAAATCAAAATTTATTTATTCAGTTTAGGCTTTTACAGAGCACTTGTGAAAGTCGAAAACTACGCCATCGGTTCGCAAAACTACGGCGGGAGACCTTGTACTGAGAAGAACCGGCAAGAAACTCAGCAAGGGCTGTTTTTTTTTCTCCCTGTTTTATTTCACACAGAGAAGTCTTATTGAAAAGTGACTTCATTAGAATATGAAGTCACTTTTCATTACAATAGTGTAATTACAAATAGAAAAATATATAAATTTACTTGTATATGTATATGCTAATAAAATATAATAATATTTTATAGCATTCAAAATTGATAAGAAAATTGTTAGATAGCAGCAATCTCTTCATGGCAATCTATGATCAATGTAGCTTAGGGTTAAAATAAAGTTAAGTAGCGATGTGAATAGCATATAAGTATACTACGGATATAATGATACTATGTTACGTGTATAAATTTTCACTCTATAACTGGATTATAGAGTTGATTTTATTATGTATAAAATTCTTGCGTTACTGAATGACTGACTGACACGTATAGCCTGTCTGACTGACACGTATACGTACACACATATGACTGACTGACACGTATAGACTACGTAGATATAGCCGAAACTACTGAGCATAGAAAGTTTTATTAAAGGGAGTGCAGAGGAGCACTAAGAGAGTATAGTTCTTTCCTAAGGGGCTAAGTTAGGGATAAACGTTTGTATGAAACTTTGTTACTACAAGTGCTAGGAGTTTCAAATTTTGCTTGCGGGATGACGGGATTTTACGAAATTCGACCCCAGGAGATGAATAGTAAAACTTGATCACGCGCGTTTAATATACCAATTTTTGTAAAAATAGACTTTTTCAAGTAAAAGTCGAATTTATACTGCAGCAAATTTATTAAAATTATATGACAAAAAATATACTTAAATGTTGTTAGAACACTGCATAATTTTAAAATCAAAGAATAACGAAATTTTGAAAACTCATCTATATAAAAGTGTTTTTAAAGTGGAAAGTGTTTTTGAATGAATTTAGTTATGGTCGGAAACCACAACCAACTAAGGAGTATTATAACACTAGGAATTTTAATTGAAAATCAACTAATATATTATTCAAGATTGACCTATTAGGTAGTATACAAATCTTGACCTTATTGTATTAGAATAAATTAATATTTCAATACGCATCCTCCTAACAGTTCATCAGATTCAAATTAAATAATACATATCAATTCAATAATACGGCATTTTAAAACTAGTTTTTAAAATGCAGTTATTTTTTTAAATATTATTTTAAGTTACAGTCAGGAAATGTATTTGGTATTTTTAAGATTTTATTACTGTTAATTAGATTTTATAATTATGTCGGAAAAAAGGATCGCAAAAAAAATAATGAGTTTTGTTCGTATTTTAGAAAAATATCAGAGTTTTGATAATTGGTTCAAATTATTTACTGTTCAATAAAAAGTTTTCATATTAATAGACTGTTTCCTAGTTACATAAAGATCCATTGTAATTGACATTAGTCTAATCTAAAGGAATATACCTATATAAATTTTCAAATTTATAACATTCATTAGAGCTTAAAGTCGTCATTAACCTTAACGGTCATTTGTGCAACTGGGCGTGTGTACCATCGTGTGTATGACAAAGATAATTATGTAATGTGATCATTCTTTTTTTATGAATTGTGTTTATGACTAACATACTCCGAGACGTAATAGTCAGAGAAACAGTAATGTGAAATTTACCCCTCATCGGTTATTTGATTATAAAAAAATTATAAACTTTGTTACAATCAATCATATAACAGATAACAAAAAAAAAATTATATTTAATTGCCCAGTTAAATCAGACACCACACTTTATTTAAAATAGTATTCAGGTGAATGTTATTTTCCTACTCTGTTATTCATTATCGAGCATCAACCGCGAGAATGTGGAATATATTAGAATTAATATAGGTGGCCTCAATAGAAGAACTATATAATCTTTAATGAAAAAAATCCACCGGCTCTAGGTACCCCGATATGGGTCGCAATCCGAGCGACTGCTCTCACTGCTCTAACCATTGAGCTACTCGAGAGCAAACAGGTGTTAATTAATAAAATATACTTATCGAAAAATGCTTAAAAAATCCACCGGCCCCATTTTTAAGCATTTCTCGTTAAATATACGAGTAAATAATTGTAATAGTAGTATAATTAGAAGATATTTTTTATAACAGATGAGGGAATATTTTTTCTTAATCATACCTTAGACTATGAACTTCAGGTAAAAATAGGTTCTGTGTACATAGCAAAAAAATAGTCTGTATTTTTATTCTTTCGTGCACCAAAAGTTGCACCTACGCTCTTTCAATAATGCGTTAATTAATTACTTTGCTTTGTTTAATGTTCACAAGTTTTTACTTGCAAAAAGTTGACATTGTAAAGTATTTGATCATAAAATTAAGGCTGCAAACACACATCCCACCCAAATATTAATTGCTTTTCAAAGATAAAGCTATTGCGTCATTTGTCCTGCAATAATAACTAACAATGAGGTACCTACTTAAATTAGTACAAATTATATTTTACGGTTATTTTAAGTGGTGCCAATCAGCGAAATTCTTTAGAGCAAAGTTCGCATTCTTCGTTAAACAATGTCACTTACAATAGTGGATTGAAGGTCGACGGCACCCTAAGGTAAGTGCCTCATTGGCGCCCTTTCCTCTTGCAGCCAGACAACGAAAATATGTACTTCGTAAATTGCCTAAACGTTGATGAAAATTGCTAGGTAATAGGTAGCTCAATGATTAAAGCAGTTGCCCGGATTGTGAAGGATTGCTATAAATCCGCAGAACATTCTATAAGAAACGTTGATCTAGATAAAAGTTTTTTTTATCTGTACTAGGTTTTTGTGAACTTTTTCACGTTCTGTGATAAAAAATGAACTGTTTCACTAAAAAGGTAGATGTGATAAAAAGGTGTTAATATTGTATGAATTGGGTGATAATAGATTTCTGAGGTAACGCGTACCTAATCTAATCTGTGTAACGCTTTGGGCTTTGTCAAAAAAAAAATTAAGTTAAGTCATTTTTATTTTAGGAATACAAAGGCACGAGTTGAATTTATTTAGATTGCAAAAAGATTAAAAAGAATAGTGCCTTCAACGTTATTATACTTTTAAACTTATTCATTGTCAGTCTATTGATGTTTTTC